GTCTGAGGCACAGAAGAGGCTTTTATGTGGAGCTCCAGAACAGCCATCCCCTGGAATTTGTAGGGTTCATGCTTTGGAATGCAAGTCAAGCAGAGTGTGGGATTTTGTTTCTCCTGGATGGCTACAGGAAAAGCCTGGATTAATTACCATTTGGTGTCACCCAGGATGAAAGACAAGGACTCTGTGTAGTGAGGTAAATCCTGCTTTTATCTCCGCGTTCTCAAGGCAAGAAATCCCAGGCAGGTGATGTCACAGCTCCCTGGGATTATGTAATTCCCGAAAATTGCATCCAAATCTGCCACTGAGATTATGGAGCACTCTGCCTTTTCAGCAGGCAGGGTTTACAGCAATTACAACAACAACAACAACCCAAACACTCTTGTTAAAGATGAGATAATCCAATTTAGATGAAAGTGCTGGGACTCACGTTCCCATTTGAGTTACAGAGGCTGGGAAAAGTTCAGCAGAGCTGGAGGGACGTGGGTGTGTTTGGACTCTCCGAAGGGGGAGCTCTGAGGCTGTGGGGTGGCCTGTTGCCATCAGCCTGTGTTTAATTAAAAGCCTGACAATGCACACCAGGGGTGGCCTGGGAGGGATCCTGACCCGCTTCCAAAGGGATGAGGAGTCTGGAAGCATTCCTTGAGCTGACCTGGGGCTGGCTGAGGGGGCTGACAGGGGGCTGACTGTGATGATTTTTTTCCACGTGGGTCTGACTAGACAAAATTCCTGTGACTTGGATCAGTGTCGGGACACGGGTTCATATCCCGCACACTGAGACGTCCCCGACACCCTCAGGAATTTCTCAGAATCCCTTTTGAGGAACAGAGATAAACATTTGACTCTGATCTTTCCGTGCTGGGTTTCTCGTTACTGCCTCGTTAATCCCCCAGCTTCTGCTAAACAAAGATCTGAGAGGAATTTTTTACCTTCCAGCCTTGCTATCTGCCGGTGCATCTTGTAAATCGGACTGGATACACCAGTTTCTGGATTTAACTTGGGATTTGCTTAGACATGAAATTAATTCAGTGGCAGGATAGGGTATGAATTTGAAATGCAATAGCAGAAAGTGCTAGAGCTGCTTCAGGAAATGTCACTGATAGGGCTCACTTTCCCTTTTTGCCTGGTGGAAAAGGTCTCCTTTTTTTTCCTTCCTTAGCAGTTATTCCCCAGTCAAAGTGGTTTTTTCCCAGTGCAGTCAGTTTTGTGGGAAGGGTTTTGGGGTCCTGCTTGGCACACACCCTTTTTTCTCAGGCGCAGGGTGGGATTGTTGGGGTGTCCTGTCCATGGCCAGGAGTTGGACTTGATGATCCTTGTGGGTCCCTCCCAGCTCAGCATATTCCATCATTCTGTGATTCCAATGTCATGCTGCTTCTGCTGGTAAATTTCCAGGGAAAAGGCCGTGATGGATAACACATTTAAGGTGAAAAAGACTGAGAGCTGATCATGGCCAGGGCTTGGCTTGTCCCAGGGAACCACAGGCACAACAAACCCCTGGATCACTTAATTCTCACCTGCTTTTCCTCACTGAAAAGCACATCCCTGTGCATTGCCTGCTCCCACCTGTCAGGTGATGGGAATTGCAGCCTCTTCCAGCGTTTTCTCCCTGTCCTGCGCTGTGGAAGAGGCTGGTGAGAGGTTCCTGGGAGGTTTCATCAGGGATTCACTGACTGTGGATGTGCAGTGGGATTTTCCCTGCTCCTCTTTGGACCTCCATCCATCTTCTTGGGATGGGCTGAGGCATCCAGTGCTTTTCACTGCTGCTCTCTGGGGATTCTCCCAGTTCAGCCTCTTCCCAAACAATGTTTACCAAGGTTTGAATTTTTGGGGAAGGCTGGGTGATGGTTTTTTTTTTCCTACAGTGATCTCCCAGTTTCTGCCCTGCCCTAGGATTTGACAGGGAGATTTTTAGGCTCCTTTTGCACAAGTGGCTGTGCCAGGGAGACTCCAGGGAATGCCTCGTGACTTGGCAGAGCAGCTGGGAGATCCATGGAGGAGGAGGAGGAGGAGGAGGAGGATGGGAGCAGCTGCTGGTCCCCTGTCCCTGCCAGCTTTGACAGGGGCTGTCTTTGCAAGGGTTTGGCCACAAAGCTTGGGGCTCTTTTCCAGACTTGGCTTTAAATGGGTGCCAGGTTTATTTTGTTGCTGGTCTGGTGTGTTTGGGGGGAGCTACCAGCTGGAAAGGGCTATTCCTGAGCACTGGGAATATTTTCATCTGTTGATTTTGTTCAGGACAGATTAAAAACTGACTGTTCTCCCCCATCCTTTCTGCCCTTTCTCCAGGGCTTGGGCAGGGAGCATTCCTGGGCTTTTCCAGCTGATTTCCCACAGTGGCTGTGCCTTCAGCACCTGCAGCTGTTCCAAGCACTGCCTTCCAACCCTTTGGCAGGTGCTCCCACTCTAAATCCTTTCCATGGATTATGGATCACGAGCCAGGAGCCTGACAGAGGTATTGTGTTGGCAAACAGACTTTTGTTTCCAAGAAACTTTCCTTCTATTCCCTGAGGGTGGGGTGTTCCCCCCACCTTCCAAAAGGGAGAAAGGCAGCTGCTGCCTTCAGCTTTTCCAAGAGCAGCCCCTGACGTGCCCCTTGGATGGAAGAGAAGGGAGGAACTGTCTCGTTGCCACCTGGATTGGAGGGTCTTGGAGGTGGGGAGGGGGAGCACAGCTCACAGGTGGGGAATCGTGGAATTGTGGAGTGGTTGGGGTTGGGATGGACCTTAAGGATCATCCAGTTGCCATGGGCAGGGACACCTTCCACCAGAGCAGGTTACTCCGTGGGGTGGGTGTGTCCTTTGGGGAGTGGGATGGCGGGGCATGGGGACGGATGGATGGATGGATGGACGGGTGGATGGATGGGTGGATGGGTGGATGGATGGATGGATGGATGGATGGATGGATGGATGGGTGGATGGATGGATGGATGGATGGATGGATGGATGGATGGATGGCGTGGGCCTTAGGCAGTAGGAACTACAACTCCCAGCAGCCTCTGCTGCCCCCGCAGCCAATCAGCGGCGCTGCCGCGCTATAAAAGGTGGGCGCGGGTCCCCGCCCTCCTCTCTCGGTGATGGCGGCGGGGCGGAATGGCCGCGCCAGGCCCAGCAGGTCCATCCATCGCCATCCTTCGCCATCCGCCCTCCCCGGGGCTCCCCCGCCGCCCGGCCCCGCCGCACCGGCTCCCCGTGGGCGCCGCGCCCTGCCGCGATGCTTCGGGGCGCTCCCACGGCCGTGAAGGGCGGCGCGACCTTGATCCGTCCCAGGCCGGGCCCGGCCTGGGTGAGTGAGGGAGGGAGGGACCCCCGAGGCTGAACCGACCCCCGTCCCGGGGCCCGGCCGGCCCTATCGAAGCTGCGTCTGTCGGTGCTGTGGCAGACGCGGTCAAAAAGGAGCCGAGAGCGAAAGGATTTTCCCCGACGGTCGCCGCTGAGTTGGAACCTCTGTAACTCTCCGGCAACATTTTGGGAAAATACACGGCCCGGGTGGGGCTGGAGCTGGGTGGGGATGGAGGATTGGCGCTGGAAGGAAGCGGCTGTCCCAGATCCTGCTCCTGGGGTCGGAATTTTTGCACAGGGAGGTGGGAGCGGGCGGGTATCCCGCTTTTCTGTTGTTTTAAGATGCTTTGTGTACCAGAAGCTCAAGACTGTGTTCTTCCCCAGCAGCATCCTGGTGATCCCGGAGTGTGGGATGGCTCATGGCAGCCTCGCCCTGGCAGCGTTGGGCAGGTGAGGAGGGAGATCCAGGCCCTGGATTCTCCTTTAGGCTGGGAATTTGGGTGGTTTCGTGGCTTCCCTGGGCCAGAGCAGGGACCAGCAGCATTTCCTGCCCCTGGGCCCTGCAAGCTCCCCTTAGCTCTTGTTCCATCGAGATCATCATGTGTGCGTGGGATGAGGGCACTCCTCTCTCTGGGCCAAGCTAGAGGCAGAAAAGTGGGACTCAACCCTGATCCAAAGCCAGCAGATCACTCTGTCAGAGGCTGTTCCGGCTGAGCTCCGTGTTTGTCCGCATGTTTATCCAAGAGCTGTGGCTCCACACAGTGGCTGCAGGTCTCCAACAACATGCCAGAGCAACGGGAAGGTCTTTGACTGCTGGGCCTCCTCTGCCCGTGGCTGTCACTCGCCCCTCCTATATATTTTTGGGAAGTTGGCTGTTCCTTGTGGTTGCAGGGTGGGATGAGTCAGGGGTGTGTCCACAGGAATCTGCAGCTGGTTTTTTTAAAGGGTTTTCTGATGTCTTCCAGGACTCCTGGGTGTTTCAGAGCTCACCTGCCTGATGGATAGACCCCAGGTAGGAACGTGGTGTCTGCGTTGGAGCGCCACAGCTCATCCCTCCTGTTCCCTTTCCCATTAGATCTGAATACCGATCTTGTGGTCGAAAAAGGAGGAAGAGCAAAAATTCACCCTGGTCTAGGGCTCTCTGCGGGTGTGTCCTGTCCTGAGAGGGGCCAGTGGGAAGACAGGCGGTGTCAGCCTCGTTCCTTGGGGAAGGCTGGGTGGAAGGGAGGGAGGGAAACTCCTGGGTGGAAGGGAGGGAGGGAAACTCCTGGGTGGAAGGGAGGGAGGGAAACTCCTGCTCGGGAGAAGGGATAAATGTTGGGCAGGGATGTTGTGGTGGGTAGAAGGATGGGGTTTATGGGGGGGGAAGGGGGAGGGTCTGAGCCATGGATTTACAGTGACCCTTCAGCTTCACTCTGTGTTTCCAGGAATGAATTCAGTGAGGAAGACTGGGAGCTTGTGAATCCTCTCCCAGGGGGTCTGGTTTGCTTTGTGTGGAGAAGCTCCAGCGTGGACCAAGTGAGTGTCCTGGTGTTGGCTGGGCAGGAGGTTTGGATCAGACATCAGGAGGAAATCCTTCCCTGGGAGGGTGGGCAGGCCCTGGCACAGGTTGCCCAGAGAAGCTGTGGCTGCCCCATCCCTGGAAGTGTCCAGGGCCAGGTTGGAGAACCCCACCCATTTGAGTGTTTCCCTGTGGGCAGTGCCTGGCTGAGCTCGGTGGCAGCACAGCCTGGTCTGTGATGACTCCTGTTTCTCTGGAGACTGTTGGATGAGTCCTGCGGATATGGGGCTGAGGCCAGGCATGAGCTACCCCAAAACCATTGTATGGGGTGAGGAGGCCCTGAGTGCAGGTGGGATCTGGCACAGCACCAAGCTGGACTGCTCCTCACTCAGCTGGATTATTTATCCTTTTTTTCCAGGTCTTAGCAGAGCATGGAGCTGAATTGAGCCCATTCCTGAGGGATTCGTTGCTATGTGGTACTTTCCAAGCCCTCCAGCAGTGGGAGCTCTGCAGAGCCAGATCCAGGCTCCTTCCCGAACCATGAGTTCCTCTGGGTGGGATCCACTCCTGAGCTCCACTCACCTGCCTTGCAGGGAGAGGGAACTGCTTTGGCTCCTGGTGCTGCTCAAGATCCTGTTTTGACACTTTCTGTGGAGTTTCCTCAGGAGTGGAGTTATTTAATATTAGTGGATATTAAATCTTGGAGGCTCAATAAACACAATTACTTGAAATCCTTGTGGTGTCTCCCATGTTTGGGGTGTGTTGGGATGGGGTGAGGCTTGGCTGGGTGCTCTGAGCCTGCCTGGGGGCGATCAGTGCCAGGGGGATCTGGGCATTCCCTTCCAGTGGAGTTCAGTGGTGCTTCAGGGTGGGATCCTGTCCCTGCTGCAGCACCTGGGGTGTCCCCACAGCCCTGGGTGGATGTCCCTGGACTTCAGGAACACGCTTGGATCATCACAGAGGTGCTGGAGCAACTCCTGCAATCCTCCACTTCCCAACACCCTGTGATGGAGCTTTGGTGATGCCAGTTGCCTGTTTTTTATGATGGACAACAAGCAGGGATGTGGGGGATCACAACAGCCTGGGAGTTGCCATTCCCTGTCCCTGGATGTTTGGGCCATGGCAGAGTCCCCCGGGGTGACCTGGTTATTTGACAAGAGCACCTTTTCCCTGCAGGGACTCCAGAACCCCTTCCCTATGGAACCTGTCCCTCCCGGGATCTCAGTGGGGACAGCAGTGTGTCTGTGCACTCCCAGCCTGGCTGTCCCTTTGTCACCTAAGCCGGGTAACAGGACAGACCTGGCATGTGACAACGACAAACACCCCGGGGGCAGGAGGATGAGGCCAAACAACACCCCGGGGGCAGGAGGATGAGGACAGAGAAGCTTCTCCCTCCTCCCGGGGCCGGTTTGTTTGTTTGCCCGGGTGACTGTGTGGCCAGAGCCGTCCCCGTCCCCAGGTGGGGTGGGGACAAGGGTGGAGACCTGTCCGTGTCACCGCCAGCACAGCAGAGTCGGGATCCGGCCGGTCATGGGGACGGTGACAGGTCCCCCCCAGGACCCCGACGCCGGGGGACACTTCCAGTTCCGCGTCATCGTGCTGGGGGACGCGGCCGTGGGCAAGTCCTCGCTGCTGCGCTGCTTCGCCGAGGGGCCGGGGGGAGGTCCCGGGGGCGCGACCACCCCAGGCCCCACAGTGGGCGTCGAGTTCTACAGCAGGACCGTCCCGGTGCCCCCCGCGGGCAGGGCCAAGCTGCAGCTCTGGGACACGGCCGGCCAGGAGCGCTTCAGGTGAGCTGGGGATGGGGACAGAGCCCCCAGGAGGGACCACAGACCCAGCTCAGCATCCCCCGCACCCTGGGGTGGGTGTAAATCCCCCGCGGGCGTGCGGGGACAGGCAGTGATGCCCCGCTGGGACAGCGACGCTTTAGGGGACAGTGAAGCCTTGTGCTGAGCTTGCAGCGACTCCAGAGCCGGTTGTTGGGAGGCAGCCAAGGGAGCAGGGCTGGGGGAGATCCTGGGATGCTGCTCCGGGACTGCTGGTGGGCTGGGGCCGGGTGCTTTCTCTCCTGATTGCATCAGGAGCTCCTGGGAGCGTGAAAGAGGCTCACAAGGGACTGGAGAGCCTGACTGGACTGGAGGTTCCATGCTCTCCGCGTCCCTGTGAGCCTTTCTGGGGCCCCAGGGTTGGTCTGGGGGTGCTGCCCCTTCCCCACTGCGCCCCGGGCTGTGGGGGGGATGGAGGGACCCCAGAGCCCCTGAAAACCACACAGGCATCTGGACTGGGAAGGGGATGCTGAACAGAAAAGCAGGGTGTAAACGGCCCGGGCAGGTCTCCTTTCCCACTCCTCAACTCCCAACCGGCAACCTAAAACCCCCTCAGCCCCATCCCGGGGATGTGAACGCGGGGGCTGCCCCAGTGCCCCCCCGGAAACGCCCCCTGGGCGTGCCCAGGTCCATCACCAGGTCCTTCTACCGGAGCGCGGCGGGGGTGCTGCTGGTGTTCGACCTCACCGACCGCGCGTCCTTCGAGCGCGTCCCCGAGTGGCACCGCGAGGCCGCGGGGGGCGGGGACCCCCCCGCCTTCGTCCTGGTGGGGCACAAGTGCGACCTGGAGGCCGAGAGAGCCGTGTCGGCAGAGGAGGCCGGGCACCTCGCCGCCAGCCTGGGCATGGCCTTCGTGGAGACCTCGGCACGCAGCAACCTCAACGTGGACTTGGCCTTCCAGATGTTGGCGGGGGCCATCCAGGAGGCCCTGGCACGGGGGGTCCTCGCTCCTCACCGGGGCTGTGATGGCATCAGGCTCATCCCCAGCCAGAGTCGCCGCCGGCCCCCGGCACGGGGGGAGCCCCAGGAGCGCTGCCAGTGCTGATGGGGATGGGGGGACATGGGACCCTCCACCCGGGACCCTCCAGCCAGGGGGATGTTTTTCTCTCCACCCAGGCTTGGGTTTATTTCAAATCTTAATCTGGGGGCTCTGAAAAAATGATGCTCTGCTGTGGGAGTGTTTTTAATAAACCTGAGGGTTTTCCACGCTGAATAAAGGCTATGCTGGATGCCGGGCAGGGACACAGCGCTCAACCCACGGCACGGGGGATGCTCTGACTGGAAGGTGGGGTGCTGGTGGGGTTACAGCCCCCCCTCCCCAGGTCTGTGTCACTTTTGGAGCCTCCTGTCACTGGGAAAATGGAAGCAGGAACCCCTGAGTGGTTCCAGCTGGATGGAGCCAAAATAAAGGGAGTGAAGGGGTTCCAAAGGGGCCACCCCTGGGAAAATGGGACCTGAAACCACATCCAGCTGGATGGAGCCAAAATAAAGGGAGCGAAGGGGTTCCAAACCAGCACCCCTGGCTCTGGGAACGCCTCCTGGGTGGAGGAGCTCCCTGCCTGCCCGGACACGCACCCGGCGCGGGGGCGGCGGGGCCCGGCACCGGCAGAGGCACCGATGGAGCCGCGGTGGCAGTACCAGTTCCGGGTGATCATGCTGGGGGACTCCACGGTGGGCAAATCCTCCCTGCTCCGGCGCTACACCGAGGGCACCTTCCTGGATGCCGTCAACCAGACGGTGGGGGTGGATTTCTACGTCCAGTTCGTGGAGCTGGAGCCGGGGCTGAAGGTGAAGCTGCAGTTCTGGGACACGGCCGGGCAGGAGAGGTTCAGGTGGGTCCGGGGGTGGGGGAAATGGGTGTCCCCCACCGGATTGGGGGTGGGATGATGTGATCCCAACCCCAGGGAGGTCCTGGATGGGACTGTTGTTCCTGCTGGTCCCTTTGGTGGGGGAGCCCCATGTGTGAAGATCCAGCCAAAGCCAAGGGAAAGGAGCACTTGCTCCAGCTCTAAAGGGGTGTGGGCCCTGCTCCAAGCACTCCTCTGTCCCACAGCTGCAGAGGGGCTGGAGAAGAAGCTGGGAGCCCACTGGGAGCTGGGCAAAGTGGTTTTCCAAAGTGGTTTCCAGTTCAGCTGCCAGGAGCCTTCACACCTCACTGTGGGGCTGCCAGTGCTGGCTGAGTGGCTGCTGGGGACAAGGGAACTCGGGAGATGTGGCTGCAGGGATGGGAAAGCTCCAGGACCATGGCTGCAGGGGCTGAGAGAGCTCCAGGACCATGCCTGCAGGAATGTGAGAGCGCTGGGTCATGGCTGCAGGGCTGGGGGAGCTCCAGGACCGTGGCTGCAGGGACAGGAGAGCCCCAGGACCATGGCTACAGGGATGGGGGAGCCCTGGGGACTGTGGTTGCGGGGGACAGACGGGCTTTGGTGGCCGAGCAGGGACAGATCCACCCCCAGAGCCCTCACCAATGCAGCCAAAGGGCCGATTATCCGCCCTCTCCCGCCGCTTCGGGCAGGGGCAGCTCTGCAGGCAGGGGAGATGCTGCCCGAGGTGGCACAAGAGACTCCAGCGGGGCTGCTCACCCCTTTTCCCCATCTCCTTCCCCCCCTCCAAGGTCCGTGACTCGCTCCTACTACCGCAACTCAGCCGGGGGGATGCTGCTCTTCGACCTCACCAACCGCGCGTCCTTCGAGAGCGCGCGGCGCTGGCACCGCGAGGTGACCGAGGCGGTGCAGCCCTTCGGCATCGTCTTCCTGCTGGTGGGGCACAAGAGCGACCTGGCCGGGCAGCGCCGCGTGGGCCGCAGGGAGGCCGAGAGGATGGCGGCCTCGCTGGGCGCGCAGTACGTGGAGACCTCGGCCAAGGACGCCTCCAACGTGGCCCTGGCGTTCCGGATGCTGACCGTGGCCATCTACCAGGCGCTGCAGACGGGCAGGCTGGCGGCCAGCGAGGCGTGGGACGGCGTGAAGAGCAGCGTGCCCCTGCCCGCGCCGCCCGCAGCTCGGCTGCCGGACAAGGAGGAGAAGAGGAAGAGGTGCTCGTGCTAGAGATCGGGGACACGAGGGGCTGAGACACACTGGGATGTGTCCCCTGCTCCACATCGGGGGAGTGCTCTCTGTGAGCCTTGTAATTAACTGTGAGAGTTGTTAAACAGTTTAATTGTAACAGTTTAGGCTCAGTATGTAAGATTCGGTGGTTAAGGCAGCGGTTTGAGAAAGGACAGGGAAATAATGTAGCAATAAAATAAAATGAACGTTGCAAGGACCCTGAGGCACGCTCGTCCTCTGCATATTCCAGTGGCCAACGTGCCCTGGACTGCGGCTGCAGAGACAGGAGGGCTCCAGGATTGTGGCTGCAGGGATTTGGGAGCTCCCGTTGCTTCAGCTGCCGCACCTCTGCAGCGCTGCCTGAAGAGCACGAGCCTGTGCCAGGAGCTTAGATTAATAATTTCTTTATTCATGTAAAACAAACGCCAAGTATTTATATAAACACTGACATTACAAAGTACTGGAGCAGGAAGGGGGCAGGAAGGAGGAAACAAAAACCTCTACAGATGCTTCTAATACTGTCCCACACACGACCAAACTCTCTGTCCCTTGGGTAATCAATCACTTGTACGAGAAACCACTTTCAAGTCACAAATAAAAAGTCTCTCCTTGAGATGCGTCGCGCTCTGAGGAGGAACGAGGAAAGGGGCAGAGAGTGTTTTTGGCAGATCTCCTCGTAGAGTCAAGATATTGCTGCACCATTAATAAAAAATAGATGCTTCTCTGTAAAGCATTAAAAGAAAAAACATCCCACGGGTGACATCGTGGAGGCTTCAGCGGAGAGGCAAAATATCCCAAACTGCACTGGCGGCGTCTCCCAGCTCTGCCCAGGGGCTATTTCTTGGTGGTTTTGCGGATCAGTGCCATCCTCTGCAACAAGGAAAGGGAAAAATGTGGGAAGCTGAGCAGCTCAGAGCAGGTGACTGCCCAAACCAGCCGTGGCCCTGCAGGAACGAGGCATCCCGGGTGCTCCGGGGACGCTGCCTGACCTGCTCCCACACAGGTCTGTCAGGTCTGCTGGAATCCTGACGGGGTCCCAGGCTGGAGCCAGAGGAGAGGGAAGTGTCTGTGCTGCTCCACTCAGCACCCCGGGGCACTGGGATCAAACCCCATCTCAAGCCCCCTCTCTGTGCCCAGTGGGAGCTGCAGCATCACCCAGGAATCCTCCAGCTCTACAGGGCAGCTCCATCCTGGCTCTGACTGTGCACTTCAAAAGCAATGGATTAATTCAGTTTAAAGCAAAATTAGGGGTGTTTTCAGTCCCTGTGCACAGAGACAGAGACAGATCTGCCAGGGGCAGCTGAGAAGTGCCTGTGTGCAGCTCCCAGCTGGTTTTAACCCTCCCAAGCTGGGCTGCCCCTCAGAATTGTGCTCTTAGGGCACAGCCAGCACTGCAGAGGAGCCACAGCAACCTCAACCCTCTCTGCACTAACAGGCCAGGAGGCTCTGGGAGTCATTTCAAGCCCAAACCACTTGGAGGAGGCCGCAATTTCACCACCTTCCCCCTATCAGCCATATGATTCCCAGCGTTCTGAGGGCTCCTTTACCTGTTTATGAGCTTCTGTAGTGCAGGCTTTTTTGTAGGGCCTGATTTCTTCGGACCCAAAGCCCGGGATCCACATGTTCCACTGGCGCTCTGGAATCACAGAAGGCTTTGGGTTGGCAGGGACCTTGGAGCTCACCCATCTCCAACCCCCTGCCACGGGCAGCCCTGCTTTATCCAGCCCAGCACCACAGCCTGACCTCAGGAAGTGCCCCTGGGTCTCAGCTGAGGGGAAAAAATACCTGTAAAACTCACTCACCGAGGTGCAACTGGACGTCCTTGACCTCCAGGGTGTTGGACTTGCGGTGCCGCGCGAGCTGGCAGGCGGCGGTGACCACGCTCTCGATGAAGTCATCAGCGATCTGCAGCAGCATCTGTGGGGAACAGGGGCCACAGCCAGCCTGGTCAGCTCAAATCATGTGGGAAGGATGAAAACGAGCCCTCGGAAGTTGGTGTTTAGAAGCTGGAAGGGACCCACAGGGATTGTGGAATCCGAGCCCTGGCCCTGCAGACACCCCAACACTCCCACCCTGTCCATGAGTGTTGTCCAAACCCTCCTGCAGCTCTGGCAGCCTTGGGGCTGTGCCCACTGCCCTGGGGAGCCTGTTCAGTGCCCAACCAGCCTGTGGGGGAAGAACCTTTCCCTGAGATCCAACCTGAGCCTGCCCTGACACAGCTCCAGCCATTCCCTGGGGGCTGTCCCTGCTCCTCCCAGAGCAGCGATCAGAGCTGCCCACCAAGTGCCCTCAGCCACTCCTCACATGGCCCCTCCTGACCCTTCACCACCTCTGTGTCCCTCTTCTATGTCCCTCTGTTATGGTTTTATATCTTTTTTATATCCTGGTGCCCCAAACTGTATTTCCCCCAGGACTGTTATCTCACAGCTTTTTGCAACACAGCCGTTTTGGCACTGGGGACACAGAAAGGCTGCAGGAGAACACAGAGGTGTCAAATGAATTGTGACAATGCCTGTGAAAACACCCAGAGGAGCTCTTTGTGCAGCCCCTGCCGTGGGTTGTCACCCACCTCCTCCACATCTTCATCCAGCTGCTCGTTGGGATCCACCTCTCGCACCAGGTCCTGCAGTTTCTTCTTGGTTAAAACCTGAGGGTGTGGCAGAAGAGGAAGGATTTACTGCCCTGCTCCAGGAAAACAGCAGCACAGCCACAAACACCCCCCTCCCCCGTGCCCCCAGGGCCCGAGTCACGCTGTTGACACAGTCTATCAGCTCAGGAATGGCAGGGATAAGGAATATCAGGTGTTAAGGAGTCATTTTGGAGCAGCAGGGGTTGCTCTGGGCAGAAAGGGGAATGCAGCAGCCAGGATAAATGTCCCCAGCACTAAACTGGCACCAAAATGCTGCTGGCAAGGGGAGGGGGAAAGGCAAAACTACAAGTCTTAAGAGGAAGACAAGAAGGGTAAGCAACATATCAGTGATTAAAGCTGTGCTCAGGGCATGAGGGAAGCATTTCCATGGCTCTAGTGCTTATCAGCTTTAGTGCTGCTCATGGAAAACAGAGATAGGGGAGTGCTGGGTTATCCCAGGGCAGCAGCCAAAGGTGGCAGGGAGCAGAAACCACACTGGGCTTGGCCAACAGGATGCTGAGTCTTAAAAGATCTGGATGGAAGTTGTCAGCCTGCTCAGGTGATCCAGGCACAGGTGGGAGATTCCTGCCTTTCCTGGTTCCCTCGCTGCTGTGCCTGTGTTTGTGCTGGTGCAATTCCTGAGAGCCCCAGAGAAGCCATCAGGGAGCAATCCCAGGGCAGCAGCTCGTTTTAAGCACATCAAAGCCTCCATAGGTTGGAAGAGACCTTAAATCCACCTTATTCCATCCTATGCCATGGGCAGGGACACCTTCCACCAGCCCAGGTTGCTCCAAGCCCTGTCCAACCTGGCCTCAGACACTTCCAGGGATCCAGGGGCAGCCACAGCTTCTCTGGACAACCTGTGCCTTGCCACCCATTTCCTCCCAAATTCCTCCCATCTAAACCCCATTTAAAAAAGAATTTCCCCCCAATATACATTTTCCTGAGACTGCAAAACCCACAGCATCCATTCCACCAGCCTGGAAGCAGCTGGAAGAACTCCAGGAGGAAGCTCTGCTCACTCAGTGACTGATACTTCAACAGACACAAAGTATTTGCTGGTGATTTAAGGAGGGAGAAGGGAGCCAGGGGCAGGGCTGAGCATCATCCCTGTTGTCCTGGAGTCAGGGATGGAATTACCTGGTTGCTCTCAGGGCTGAGCCTGCCCCCTCCACTGGGTGTTCCAGGCATCTTGGCCACGGTGGTGCTGTTGGCCATGGAGCTCTGGGGGGGGGTGCTGGCTGGCTCTGGCTTGATGGAGGAGAAGTTGGAGAGGTTGATCAAGGTAGAAGGGCCAAACTGGTTCATAATCTGCTGGGCTTTAGATTTCAGGTCATAAAGCTTGTCCAGGTCCTGCTTCTTCTTGGGGTTGTGGGGACCCAAACCAATCAACTGGGGAAGGAAAGGAGAGCCAGGGTTAGAGGCAGGGAGGGAGTTCAGTGGGGTGGACAGGTCTTTGTCCTGAGAAAACTGGAGTTTATGGAAGACCAGGAGTCTCTGGACACAGCAAGAAGGGAGAAGTGATGTTTAAGCAGACAAGAAAACCTTCCCTGGTGTGTGGAAAATGAAGTTTCCCAGAAGCACAGGCCAGTGACAGCAGCACTGACCCACCCACCCCCTCAGGTTGTTGGTCACACACTGACCAGCCCCTCCTCTGTTCCATGGCTGGGAGGCTCTAAAGCCCAGGCTGGGTGAAGTTTTGCTCTGTCCTCACTGCTCCACGACAGCAAACTCATCCAGAGCCTGCCCCTCCCACTGCCACAACCAGCAGGGACGGGCCTGTCACAGGGAAGGAGAGCTCAGGGAAGGGTTTGGTGGCAAAACCCCTCGTGGAGGGGACAGAGGTGGGTGAAAAGCAGCAGCTGAGGCTGAACTTACAAAAGAAGAGTTTGTTTAACCAGCTTCACAGGACGTTCACACTCAGTGTCTGCCCCCTGAACAGACATTTCCCGCTCATCAGAGCCAGCCTGGTTAGTCTGGATATTAGTTGAACCCACACCAGAAAGCACACGGGGACACTCAGGGGCAGCTGCTTTAGTGCTTCACTCCAAGGCACACTCATGCACCTGGGATTTATATCCCAGACAGCTCCTGCAGTGCCCTCAGCAAGTCTCCAGCTCATTTTTAGCTGGATTAACGATGGAAAACCACGGCACTCACACCCTGAACCCCCCTCAGCTGCCCCTCTGGCCGAGGGACCAGGAGGGACCTCCAGTCTGGGTTTTAGCTGGGGCCGATCCCAGGCTGCTCACCCCACTCCTCACTCCCCAAATCCACCCAGCAGGAATTCCTGCCCACCATGCAGGGCAGGGAGGGCCCAAACCCTGGGGCAGAAAGCCCCAGAGCCCTCGGGGAGAAGCACAGAGTGGTTTTGCTGGTTTATTCTGGGATCTCTCCGCACCCTCCGGGCGCTGCCGAGATCCCTGGGCACAAAACCCCCGGGAATGAGCGGGTTCCCAGGGCAAATCCCACATGCCAGCCCCGTTTTACTTACAGCTATCTGAGTGTCTAGATCTTTAATTACATCAGCAACTGCTGTGGGCCCAGAGGGTGCAGAGGCCATGGCCCCCAGACTTCCCAGGGTGTCACCAGCCAGCGGGACCTACTCTGGCCTCCTCCTCTTCCACACAACTCCCAATCCTACAGGAACACCAGATATTTTTTTTTGGTATCACCCATCCTTTAGAAGATGCTGAGAGGAAGGAGTTTCACAGTCTGCCCTCACTGCAGGGCCAAAGGTCTCTCTGACAGGTCACACAGTGGAGGAGCATCCCACGGGATGCTGAAGAAATATATGGCCAAATTCCTCCTCCTCCTGGCAGGAAATGGAGCATCGTGGTGCCTGCTGATGTGCAGGTGAGCCCAGGCCCCACAGCAGCAGCTCCCTCCAGGGCAGGAGGAGGTTTGGGGGCAGTGACAACTCTGGGACTGGTTCAGCTCTGGGGCAGTACGAGGTTAGAGCTGCAACTAAAATCCACATTAATGCCAAACAGCACATTCCCTGGAGGGCTCAATGGGTTCTCATTTCCACCAATCACAATGATTTTCACCGAATACCTAAATACAATCACACAATCATGGAACGGTTTGGGCTGGAAGGGATGTTAAAGATCAGCCAGTCCCACCCCCTGCCATGGGCAGGGACACCTTCCACTGTCCCAGGTTGCTCCAACCTGGCCTTGGACACTTCCAGGGATGGGGCAGCCACAGCTTCTCTGGGCAACCTGTGCCAGGGCCTGCCCACCCTCTCAGGGAAGGATTTCTTCCTCATATCCAGTCTATCCCTGCCCTCTGGCAGTGGGAAGCCATTCCCTGTGTCCTGTCCCTCCATCCCTTGTCCCCAGTCCCTCTCCAGCTCTCCTGGAGCCCCTTTAGGCACTGGAAGCGGCTCTAAGTTCTCCCTGGAGCTTTCTCTCCTCCAGGCTGAACCCCCCCAGCTCTCAGCACTCACCACCCCTCCAGGGATGAACCGAACCCCCCTCCCCGTGCCGAGCGCACCGCGGGGGCAGCGCGAAGGTCACCGAGCGACACCGGCACCGACACCGACACCGCGCAGCGCGCCCGCCCCGGGGCTCTCTCTGCCCGCACTCGCAGCCGTGCGGAGCCCCCCCGGAGGCTCCGTGAGCCCCGCCCGGTGTCCCCCCCGTACCTCCCCATGACCCGCGGCCGCTCCGAGGCCCCGCCGCGCCCGCCCGCTCCGCCGACACCGGGGCGGCGCTTCCGCTTCCGGGGGGGGGCACGCCTCCGCCAATCGGGGGCGCGTCCGCCTCGTGCGCGCGCGCTCGCCTCCGCCAATGGGGGGCGCGTCCGCCTCGTGCGCGCGCCAAAGGGGCTCCCGCCAAGGGGACCCCCCCCCCCCCAATTCCCTCAGGGGAAGGCGGAGTACCCAGCATGCCCCGCGCGCGATTTGCATAGCGCCGGCGGGGCCAAATAGCGCGGAAACGGCGCTTTGTTTTGTTTGTTTTTCTTAGGTGAAAAGCAGCACAAATGTCGAGGGTAAAAGGAGAAACGTATGGAGAAAGGATAACGGGATAGAGCTGTAGTCAATCGTTCTCGTGCCTCGCCCTGAGCTAGGTAGTGTTCCGGCGCCTTGCACTGCGGGGCGGGCGCAGGCGCCGCCTTTAAAAAGGGCTTCTGCCGTGCGTGGCACGGGGGGGCCTCGCGCCGCCCCCGCGGAATCGACATCAAGAGATTTCGGAAGCACAATTTTTGTGAGGGGGGGCCCGCCGGTAACCGCCTGTTCCGGCGCCCCGACACGGCCGCGGTCAACGACAGACACGGGGGGAACGGGATGGGAGCGAATCCCTGATGGGACACCGGGAGAGCCATGGTCCCGGACCCCCTGGGGCGGGAGAGGGACCGTCGCTGGAGCAATAGCTGATGCGGAATGATCCCGGACCGGCAGGATGATTCCTGTGACAGCCCGGGCATGCGGGATGATCGCTGTGACACCCCAGACCGGCAGGAGCAGAAGGACCATCCCTGTAAAACGCCGGACAAGCGGGATGGTCCCTGCAACACCCTGAACCGGCGGGAGCAGAAGGTGGGATGGTCCCTGTGACACCCTGAAACGGCGGGAGCAGAAGGTGGGATGGTCCCTGTGACACCCTGAACCGGTGGGAGCAGAAGGTGGGATGGTCCCTGTGACACCCTGGAACCGGCGGGAGCAGAAGGTGGGATGGTCCCTGTGACACCTGAACCGGCGGGAGCAGAAGGTGGGATGGTCCCTGTGACACCCTGAACCGGTGGGAGCAGAAGGTGGGATGGTCCCTGTGACACCCTGAACCGGCGGGAGCAGAAGGTGGGATGGTCCCTGTGACACCCTGAACCGGAGGGAGCAGAAGGTGGGATGGTCCCTGTGACACCCTGAACCGGTGGGAGCAGAAGAACCATCGCGGTGACGCCTCAGGCCGGAGCGATCACCACCCCTGTGACACCCCGGACCCGGCTGGATGATTCAGGACGATCGCTGTGACACCCCGCACCAGCGGGAGGAGCACATACATACATCTATCTATATAAATATATATAATATATATATTTAAATAGGATTATTCTTAAAAAAAGCCCTCCGGGGCCCGCGGGGAAGCTCCCTCCCCCGCACAACCCCCCTGCCCTCCCGGTACCGTGCTCCCCCCTCCTCACAAGGCTTCGTGATACACGTGTGCGAGGGGACAGTCCCCGCGGGACCCCTCGGGGCAGGGGCTGCCAGTCCGCTCCTCCCCGGGCCGCGGGGCGGGGGTCCGGTACCGCACCGGGGGGCACCCGGGGGGCCCCGCGATGCCGCAGGGGCTGCGGCGCGGCCCGGGGGGCTCGGGCTCGCTGAAGGGGGTGGCGTACTCGGGCTCCGGGGGCAGCGGCTCGGCGTACTCGTGGTGCTTGCCCGGCACGTCGTAGTGGCTCAGCACCAGCGGCAGCGTGTAGCCCTCGTCCAGGAGCGGCTTGAAGGTGGAGGGACCTGTCTGGCTGCTGGGGCTCACCTGCACCAGGTCTGGCTCGGCATACTCTGAAACGGGGCTGCGCTGTCAGGGGGGTTGCGGAGCTGGGATAGGTGGGTGGGGTGGGTTGAATAGAAGTGGGTGCGTTTGGACCCCCCCAGGGCTGGGAAAAGCTGTGGCAAAACCAGGGGCGGGATGCCCACCCCATGGACCCCACATCCCTCTGCCCCGGCACAGAGAAGGGCTCCTGGTGCCACCTGGCCCCCCTCCAATACCCACAGCTGTGACTGAGGGTATTATTATTATTATTATTATTATTATTATTATTATTACCACCATCAGATATTATTATTAATATTATTATCGTTGTTATTTATTACCCTTATTATTGTTATTGTTGTTATTGTTATTTAGTATTATAGCTGTTATTTATTACCCTTATTATTGTTATTTTATTGTTCCTATTATTATTACTAGTATAGTTATTGCTGTTATTATCATCATAGTTATCAGTTATTATCCTTGTTTTTATTATTTATTGTTATTTATTATTATTTTATTATTCTGTTGTTATTATTATCATTACTACTACTATTTTAAAGTAATAAGCCCAAGCAGGGTCTCCCTTTTGCACAGGACTGAGATGCAGGAGGGGTTGGACCAGAGCGGGAAGGGGAGGAAGGGACACCCCAGAGTGTCCCCAGGGTGCAGTGGGGGAGACACAGCCCTGACTCTGTGCTGGGGGACCTGTTTGCACCCCGCTGTCCCCGTTACCTGGGGAATGGGTCCGGCTGAGGTCTCCTGGTGCAGGTGCTGTGGGGAAGGAGGCCAGGCTGGGGGGCTGCAGGCTCTGCAGGGAGCACACCTGGCTCGACTCCAGCTTGGGGTACCCTGGGCAGGGAGCAGAAACCCCTGTTTGTCACAGGCTGTCACCTGGACAGGTCCCCCCAGGAAGGGGATGGCTCTGGGCTCAGCAGCACCAGTCAAACCAGCTGCACCCCGTGGCACACAGGACTCCTGGTTCTGGGCAGGGCTTGGGGACCCTTTACCTTTTGTGATCCCACAGTTCAGCTCTGCTGCTGATTTCCTGCCAAGGGGAGAAGCATGATGGGGTGAGGGGTCCCAGGCACCCTGTGCCCACCATCACCCACCTCCTCACACCCACTGAGCGAGCAGCTGAACGAAGCTGCCGCATTTTGGGAAGGTGAAAATGGTAAAAATGAGGGGCAGGATGTGACCCACCTCTTCCTGTGGCAGAGGAAAGCCAGGAGCAGGAGGATGGAGCAGAAGAGCACGAAGCCACCAATGAGCAGCATCACCAGCAGCGTGGAGCCTGGGGAGGGAGGGCACGTCAGCCCATCCCACCCCTCTGCACCCAGGGGTGCCAGGAGCCCAGCCAGGGCCCCCAGAGGAGAAAATCAGCGTGTTGTCACAGGGGGATGAAGCCCCAGTGGCACCTGGAGCACCACAAGATGACGCTGTGCCCCCCATGGCACCCACCTGCCTTCTCCGGGTCCAGGGCGATGCCGGGGATGGAGGTGTGGGTGGACGGGCGGCTGGTGGGGACAGGGACCTCCCTGGGGACACTGGGCACTGCAGGGCAGAGCAGGGACTGTGACTGTGGGACCAGCACCGGGGAGGCAGCGGTCCCAGGGGGGGATGTTTGGGATGTGGTGGGTGTGGGATCCTCAGGAAGGGCTCACCGTAGGGCCGGGGCGCGCGGACCCGCGCCAGGGGACAGCCCACCAGGGCCACCTTGAGGGCCACGCGCTGGTGCCACCTCTGGGGCGTGACACGGACGTAGCGGGCGACGATGGGGGGGATGAAAGCGTTGGAGACCTCCCCGTGGCTGTCGGCGTTTCCTTCGAAGACCTGGAGAGAGCAAAGAGGTGCCCAAGCTGAATATCCACAGGCAGGGGGTCTCAGCCCCTCTGCTGTGCCCTCCGTGCCCACCTTGTCCTCCTGGCTGGCACTGCCCCTGTAGGGTTTCCAGTTCTTCCCGTCGCGGCTGGAGGAGACCCGGTAGGACGTCACGTAGCAGTCGTGCTGCTCGGAGGAGCCCTTTGTGATGATGCCTGGGGGTGCAGGAGGGTCAGTCAGGGGGTGCGGGGCTGTGGAAGAGCTCGGGGCAGAGCTGGAATAACCCCCATCTCTCGGACACCCACACCCCAGCTGGGAAAGGACGAGGAGGGCAGGACATCACCCAGCAGAGGGAGGTCCCTCTGACCCCGGGAGGGGGTTTGGGTGGCAGATTCCAGTGTGGGACCCTCCTCCCGCTCTGTCCCAGCAGCCGATAACCTCCGGCCCCGGCTGCCAGCCCCGCATTCCTCCCTCCTCCAGCCTCGGGGCGGACAATGTGCCCATTTTCCTGGCCGGCCGCCGGCGCACAAAGCCCCAGCTCTGGGCAGGCTCCGAAGCACAAAAGGCGCTCGCTGGCACCAGATGCAAGAGCATAATATTAACTTGTTCGTCCCAGAAACTGCTGCGGATGAAGGGGGGGGGAAGGGACAAAAAGGGGGACAGGGCACAGCCTGGGGGGGGGGGTTGGTTTGCTCTGCATCCCAGTAAAACCATGGCATGAGGAGATCCAGTGCATCCCGGGAGTTGTGGGGGTGCGGTTTTGTGGGGATCAGCGGGGCTGGCACCGTGTCACCACAGCGGTCAGGGTGGCACGGGGACACGGGCAGCTGTTGTCCCCCTCACCTGTGACATTCCTGCGGGTGCCCAGGTCCAGCTCCAGCCAAGCGGTCTCGGCGCTGGGTTCGGCTGCCCAGGAGTGGCCGGCGGTGCCAAGTGCTGCCCGTTCGGCCACCCAGGCCCTGACCTGGCCCAGCTCATCCACCTCGTGCCACCAGGATGAGGCGTTGAAGGCGGCCACCTCCAGCACATCGTCACAGGCTGAGGACAGGAGGAACTCAGGACACCCAACCAGGCACGGCATGGGGGTGGCACTGGGCTTGGCAGCCCAAATAGTGCCTTAATTTTGGGGGGAATGGGACAAAAAATACCTTTGTGGAATATGAGCCGCTTCTCGGAGAGGGATCCCCTGTGGGGAGGGAAGCAGGGGCAGCATCAGACTGGTGACCAAACCCTAGGGTGGGTTTGAAACTGAGGGGTGGCAGCTCCGTGTGACAGCCAGGCGTGGGGTGCAGCCCCTGCTCACCCACCTTTTGGAGTGGAGCCCGTTGGCAAAGGCAGACTCGTAGAGCGTGATCCCCTTCTCCCGGGACAGCGTGACCTGCCCGCCCAGCTCGTCCGCGATCACCCCGGCGTGCACGGCGGCCTTGCACAGCACCGAGGTCTGCGGGGGGCAGGGGGTCAGGGCAGCCCCCACAGGGCACCCCGAGGCACAGCCCACCCCCTGGGGGCTGCTGGGGGTGCCAGGCAGTGGCCACACGTGCCGGGGGCTGTCCCACACTTACGTCCCGGTAGCCCTGGCTGGGGTTGCCCCAGATGTCCCCGTGGATGTCCTTGCAGCCCGCGGGGCAGTACACGCTGAAATGCACGGCAAGGAGGGGGTCAGGGCTTGCTCTGCCCCCTCTTCACACCCTCTCTGTTCCCCATCCCACCCCAGCTGCACCCCAAGAGCTCCAGGAAAGGGATGGGGATGAAACCAGGGCTGCTGGGGACTGCCGGGGTGGGGGACACCAAAGCAGGGCCACTCACCCTCCCCTGACCACTCACCTGATGTGCTCCTGGGTGTAGTGGGTGCCTCGAACCAGGCAGGAGACCAGGTCTGCAAGGCAGGGACACCCCAGGGTGAGGGACTCCCACCCACCCCACAACCCCCACCCACCTCTGCCCAAGGGCACCCCATTCCCATGCCTTTCCCAACCAAATCCTGCTCCATGTTTTGGTTTTGCCCCCCACATCCCCATGTCTGGAGGGGCGGGGAGAGGTGGCCCCTTGGTCCCCGCAGCCATGCCACCATCTAGAGTGGCTCTGTTTGGTATTGGGGTATGCCACCTGACCTGGGTGTCTCCCATGCTGTGCCCCCAGCCAGGGAGAACATGGATATTCAGGGAGCTCAGGGAGATGGGAGCACACCCAGGGCTCAGCAAGGAGCTCCCTCCACCACAGGTTGTGCCCCCCTCCATGGGCCAAGACACATCCTGGGGGGTGTCTCTGCCCCCCCAGGGGATGCCCTCCTCACCTGGGTGCTGAGAGGTGGCATAGGAGAGGAGGAGGCCTCGCCCCGAGCGGTGGCTGGTGCTGTTGAACAGGACGGTCACAGAGCTGGAGTTTGTCACCAGGAGCGGGGCAGAGGGGACGGAGTTCCTGCAGTAGGGCCCTGCCAGCAGGGATGGGGCCATGGAGAGGGTTGGGGCTCCCTGGGGACAGGTGAGGGCACACAGACCCCAGGGTTTCACCTCCCCTGGCTCAGCCCTCGCCAGGGCTGGGGGAGCTCAGGCATTTGGGTCTCAGGCTCCATGGGGGCACCCCAAGATGTCCCCTGGGATTGCATGAGCGGCCACCAGCCCTTATGGGGACCTGCCACCACATCCCCCACTGCCCAGGGTTGGTACATGTGGCATCACCCCACAGGACTCTGAAACAGGGGCTGTGTCTCCCTCCCCATCTCCCCTCTAACAGGCACCGCCAGAGCTGCCTCCTAAATCCCGCCCCCATTTAATCCCCATTAATTTGCAATCTCCATCTCCCTGATTAAAACTTCGGCTTAGCAGGCAGGCGGGTTCCTTAGGGACATCCCTGCTCCCAGCTGGGGGCCAGAGGTGGCCCCAATCCCCAGACTGCCATCATCCCACCACCCCCCCACACATTGCTCTGCTCTGTGTCACGTCCATCACTGGGCTCTCGGGGTGCTCAGGGATGCTTTGAGCAGATGCCATCCTTGCCTTGGGGACAGGGAGCTGTGTCCCCGTGTGACACCACGACGTGGGGTCGAGCCGTGCCTCAGTTTCCCCCAACCTGACTCGCCCCCTCCCCCTGCCTGGGATGAACACAGAGCCCAGGGGACGCGGGACATGCATGTGCAGGGATGTCACAGGGTGACAGACGTGACAGGACAGGGGGCTCTGCACGATGTGCAGATGAGTCACAGATGAGACAGGGGCAGATTTCTCCCCCTCCCACTGCCCCGGGTCGGGGCTGCCACATCTGCACGGACTCTGGGGACACCCCGGGACCCCTTGGCTGAGCCCCAGGGCTGGAGGCTGCCACCCCCACAGGGACCCTGCCACGTCCCCAGGCAGGATCAGGCCAGGGGCCAGACAGCGGGGCTGAGTCAGCGGGAAGCAGCCCACGGCCCCCGCCTGCTCCGGCTGCTTCCCGAAAAACATCTGGGACTCCTCAAGGGCCGGCGCCGGCTGCGGGAGAGGGACCCCAGCCCTGTGTCACGCACTGGCACGGCCCTGGTGAGGACACCCAAAGGGGTTGTGGGTGCCTGGCCACCTCCCCCCAGCCCCCCAACACCTCCCCCCACCCCCCAGGAGCATCATCAGGGGGTCCCCCCTTTCCCGCCTCAGCCTGGGCCAGGAGGTCTCTTGGCTCTGGGGACAAACATGTCCCATGGGGGCAGGGACCTTGTGTGCTCTCACCCCTCTGGGTACCAGCCCAGAAAAGGTGAAAGCCCTGGAGAACAGGGAGAATTCCCAGTCCCGGGAGCAGATGGGGGTCCACGCTGGCTCCTTTCCATCCTGTATTTCCCACCGTGTCCCCTGCCCCTCCCCAGGGCTGCTCCTCCATCCCACCCCACCCGTGACGCTTCCCCCCCACCCCCTCAAGACATTTTCCCCAGCACCCATCATGCTCCCAGTGCTGCCAAATCCCTCCAAGACCATTAAATCTCTCTGGGAAAATCCTGGAAGCGCTTGGGCAGCGTCTGGGCCGACGGAATTAATTCATCAGCGGCTGCATCTGGTCCCAACTGGGCATCCCCTCCCCTTCCAGCTTGGCAATATCCCCCTCCTCAGGTACCCCTTTCCTCATAAACCCCTACCCTCAAATATTCTCCTCCTTGGATATCCCCCTAATCAGGTACTCCCATCCCTGGGTGTGCTCTGCCTCATTTTCCCTCCCATGGGACCCCCCTCTTACCGTAGGCAGTGCCAGCCTGGGGGTCTGAGAGCAGCAGGGAGCTGTGGGCACAGCGCTCCGAGGGTTCCAGATCCACATCCCCAAAGGCCAGGAGCAGGGAGGTGCCCGGGGGCGCCTGGAGCCGCCAGCGGCACACGGTGTGGTTGGGGTACGTGCCCGGGTAGTTCTTGGAGCTCAGGGTGCCACTCTGGGGTGCCAGCAGGGTGTGGCCACAGCCATTCCCTGTGGAGACACCAGGAAGGGCTCAGGTGGTTTTTCCTAGTCCGAAAAATCCCTTTTTTTCGGTGGATTTTCCAGCTGTTCCCCTGCACTGGGGCGGGTATTGGTTCACCAGCAGTGATTAATTTTCAGGGAAGCCTTCAGCAGTAAATGTCATTTTGAAAATTTAAAAAAAAAAAAGGCAAGTAGCACTGCCTTTTAACCAGCTCATCACGTAAGATAACTCCAGACATCTTAGAGGGGGAAGGGAGGGGTTCCTAGATTCATCCCAGCAGGGAATCCAGGGAAGAAGCTGCCTCAGTTTCCCCCCACAGCCACCCAGCACCTCCAGCTCCACCCTGTCCCCCAGGCCAGGAGAATGCCAACTGGGGGGGATATAAAGGGATTCAAGGAGAAAATACCCCCACCCACAGGGCTGTTCAGCATGGGGTAGCCCCCCAGGACCCGCCTCGACCTTGAGCACGACCTTGGGCAGCTGCATCCCCATCGCCTCCTTCCCAAGGCGACGCCAGACCCACCACAAAAGGGGCTTTTCTCTGAGCTCACCGCCCCCAGGCACGAGGGAACATCCTGGAAACCAGCTGAAAGCGCCCGGTGTTGGGATCCAGGCCCGATTTTCTGGGCAGGGTTGGGATGTAGGGAAAGAGGGGAAGCTTCTCTCAGCCCCTCTCTGTGTGGGCTGGGGGCGTGTGGGGGTCCAGCGCCCACCCTCTCCCCGCACCCCCCAAAAAGCTGCTGCTCCTGCCAAGCATCCTCCTGGCACAGCCAGAAAGAAAAGGGGATGGTGGGCAGGGGTTTGCCCAGCCTTGGCTCCCCTCACCGTCGCTGGGAGACGGCACAAAGCGCCGGCAAGGGGAAAATCCTGCAGGGAGGAAAAAGGAGGGAGCCGGAGGTGGAAGATGCCAGCCCCACACACACACACAGAGCCCCCTCCCTCCTCCCCAGCCTGCGGGAAGGGCTGGAGGCCAAACTGGAGGGGTTTATCCTGTGGGACCAGGAGAAATCCCCAGTTTTCCCCCTGGATGCTGATGGAGCAGAGCTGGGAAGGATCAGACCCTCCAGGACTGGGATGGGTGGAGGGTCAGTGGGGACCCCAGGGCTGCCAGGACAGTGGCTCCCAGAAGGGCTGCTGTGCTGGGGGAGAGAAATTCGGGGTATTTTGGGGAGTTTCCAGCAAGGAAACTCAAAAACCGTTGGGATCTGCATGGAAAACCCTCCCTGCCCAGGACGGCCAGACCCCAGTTAGCCCAGTCGGGGGTCTTGGATGGACCCCTCCAAGCTCCATCTCCTCACTGGTGGGTGCTGGGAGGAGCTGGGGGGAATCCAGTCCGGGGGAAAAAAAAAAACCATCCGGGAAAGGAAATCCTTGTTAAAAACATCCCGAGTGTGGCCAGCGCGTGCCGGGAGGGAATGCCAGAGATAAGCCATGCCAGAGATAAGCCGAGAGCTGCGGGCACTCCAGGGAATTCGGCTCCGGAGATGCTCCCGAGGGGCCGGGAATAGCCAAGACAGAGCCACGGGGGACTTTGCTCTCCCCTCCCCAAAAAAAACCCGTGAATTGCCAAAAAATGTGGAAACTGGGTTTCCGGTGGGTGAGGACGAAGTCACGGCCGGGCCCCCGCTGGGCTCATTCCTGCCAGGCGTTTGTTTGTTTTCTCACAGGATGCAGGAAAGACACAACAGGGCGATGCTCCGGGAAAAGCCCGGCACACTCCCGCCTCCGTCACGCCGCCACCCCCCCCCGGGGAAAGCTCCCCCGCTCCCACCAGTGGGTTTGGGATCCACTGGGAAACCTCTGCAGGACGTGTCCCAAAACTGGACGCATCCCAGAGTTGGGGGGCGCAGCGCGATTGTGCTCCCGGTGATGCCGCCCTGGCCCCGTGCCTCAGTTTCCCCTCGCTGGGAATGATGCCTTGGATGCCCCGTCCTTGTCTCTCCTCGCCCTGGGATGAGCTGGGGACAAGCGGCACCGGGAAACATCAACTTCGGGATGAGGTTTGGGCGAACATTCCCTCAGGGTCGTCCCGGACCCCGCGGGTGCAAATCCCACCGCTCCGCGGCATTCCCGGGTGGAGCCGCTGCCCGGCTCTCCCGGCGGCGCACCGGGAGCTCCAGCCATCCTCTTAACCCGGGGATTAGCGGATCCCGGGAAGAGCCCTGAGCCCGGGATGGAGCCGGGACCCCCGGGAGTGGGGACAGAGGGAGTGGGGGGATGCGGCGGGGATGGAGGTAGCGAGGAGCTGGTACTGGAGACGGGGGATGGAGGGGACCCCGTCCCGTCCGGTACCGGGATAGAGGGACGGCAGGGACGCGGATCGGGAGCGGAACGGAGAGATGGATGTACTCCATCCCGGCCGGGACCCGGACAGGAGGCTCCGTCCCGGATCGCTGCTGGAGCAGAGGGATGGCAGGAACCTCGTCCCGGATCGGCACCGGGGCAAGCACACGGCGAGGACCCTGTCCCGGTGCGCTCCGCTCTGGACACAGCAGCGACCCGTTCCCGGGAGCCCATCCCGATCCGATCCCGGTCGGGACACAGCGAGGAGCCCGTCCCGGAACTCACCGTCCCGTTCCCCATCCCACACGCAGCCTTGCTCCCCAACCGGCGAGCGAAGGGGAAGCCCCGGGAGCTGCCGGTGGCAGCGGGGACTCTCGGCGCCGGTGCCCCCCCCCGCGACCCGCACTCACCGTCCTGCGCGGCGGCCGGGCGCAGCCCCAGCGGGCCGAGCAGGAGGCAGCAGCGGCGGAGCAGCAGCGCCAGCGCCAGCGCCCGCGGGGCCGCCCCGCCGCCCGCCCGCATCCTCCTCCTCCTCCTCCTCCTCCTCCTGCCGCCGCCGCCCCGGCCCCGCCGCGGGCCCGCCGCGCCACCGCCCCGGCCCGCCCCTCCGCCCATTGGCCGCCCCCGCCCTGCCCCGCGCTGCTATTGGCTCACACCTCTGTCAGTCACCCGCCCGTCCCACACCCACCGCTCCTCTCGCGTCCTCCGCTCCCGCGCGGCCATTGGTCCGCCTCGCTGTCGCTCAGCCGGGACAGCCCCGCCCCCTTCGGGCGCGATACCCGCGGCGGCCGCCAGGGGGCGGGGCCTGCGGGGCAGGCGGCGGCCGGAAGTGCTGGCGGCCGAGGCCGCGGCGGGCGCTGCGCATGCGCGGGCGCTGCCCGGCCCGTTTCCCCCGCTCCCCCTCCCCGCTCCCCGTCCCTCAGCCCCCGGTTCGCGGCCGCTCGCCGACGGTAAGGCCCGGCAGGGGCCGGCAGAGGCCGGGAGGGGCCGTGCGGGCGCGGCGGGGCGGGGCGGGGCGCGAAGGGCCCGGCCCCGCCGTGAGGGCAGGGAGGGAGGGGTCGCCGCCGTACGTGCCGCCGCCGCCGCCGTGAGGGCGGACGTCGCGCGCCGCGGGGGCGGGAGGTGGGGGGCAGCGCCGTGAGGGGAGGGGGTGGAGGGAGGGGACGGGAGGGGGGGGCGAGGCCACGCCCCCTCCCCCGGGCAGGCCACGCCCCTCGGGCGCCGCGAGCCGCCCGGGGCGACCCGACCCCCCCCCGCCCCGACCCCCGCACGGCCACTCGGGGACCCTCCCGGGGGGAGGAACGGGGAGAGACCCCCAAACCCCGGCCCCCGACCGGGGCTCACCGTGTGCTGGCGGCCCCTCCGCCCCGCGCCGGACATCCTGGGGAAGCCGCGGCCCCGCCGCCCCTCCGGGGGTACCGGGCGGTCCTGGGAGGTCCCGGAGGGGTTTGGGTGCCCCCCGGAGCCGGGGGAAGCGCAGGGACCCCCGGGGAGCCCATGGCTGGAGCGTGGCCCCTGTGCTGGTGGGTCCCCAGCCTTGGGACATCGAGACCCCTGTCACCCACCGGGAGGTCCTGGCCTGAGATCTCTGAGGTTTAGATGGGATAGTGGGAAGGAATTGTTCCCTGTGAGGGTGGGGGGGCCTTGGCACAGGTTGCCCAGAGGAGCTGTGCCTGCTCCCGGATCCCTGGAAGTGTCCAAGGCCAGGTTGGAGAGGGCTTGCAGCAACCTGGGCTAGTGGAAGGTGTCCCTGTCCACGGCAGGGGGTGGCACTGGGTGATCTTTAGCATCTCTTCCAACCCAAACCATTCCATGATTCCACGATTCTGACAGTCTGTCTCTCACTGAAGCTTTTACACCCCAAAGGTGTGATCCTAGCCCCACAGCAGCCACGAAACCACCTCTGTGCCTCCTGCACAGCCACAGGAACATCCCCTGGGAGCGCAGCTGCTCCCTGACCCCCTCCCTGCCAGGTTCTCCTGCAGCACCACGGTTTCTCCTGGGAAGCACCATCCCCAGGCATGTTCCTGGTAGCAGGGGATAAGGAGCATCCCAGGGGTGGATCAGAGCATCCCAGGGGCTGGCTTGGAAACTCCAGCTCTTACCAAAACCTGCCATGTGGGTTTGCTTCCCTGGCCTCGGGAGGGGGGGTGCAGGGCCAGGGAGAGCCACCAGCTCGGGAAGTCAGGAGTGGGATGGCACTGGGTGTGTGTGTGTGGGGCTGAATCTGCCTGTGGGATCTGTTCCCAGCTCTCCTGATCCACAGGGAGGAGGCAAAACTCGCCGTGTTCATGTGAGAGATGGCGAACGCCGAGGTGAGCGTCCCTGTGGGCGATGTGGTGGTTGTACCAAGTGACGGCAATGAAGGGGAGAACCCGGAGGATACCAAAACCCAGGTGATCCTGCAGCTCCAGCCGGTGCAGCAAGGGTGAGTTGGGTGGCACTGGTGTGACTGGGAGGTGCTGGGTTGCCATGGGGTTGGGGAGGATCTGTGTGGGTTTTCCTGGGGATGGAGCGTGGTGGCGTTTTCCAGGGCTGCGTCGGGTTTGTGCCGTGCAGGGGAGAGGGGAAAATACAACAGGAAAAAGCTTGTGTGTGTGTGTGTGTGTGATTGTCACAGGGCCTCCAGGGGCTGAAATTGTCCTGAGGGATCCTGCCTGAGGGATTGTGGCAGTGGTGCTGTCCCAGTCTCCCTCTTCCCTCTGCAGCCCCAGGGTGGATTTTGGCCACGCTGCAGCTGCTGGGTGGTCTGTGTGTCCAGACTTACCTGTGCCTCTGTACCAGCTTTCCCCTAAAACAGCGAAGCTGGGATGTGGAGGGAATTTTGTGGCATCCCTGGTGCTTCATTTTCCCTCTGGATCAATGGGGATGAGAAAAAACTGGTGCCAGTTAGATAATATTCACAGAGCAGGGTGGCTGTGAGCCTGGCAGTGACTCTCCTGTGGGGTCAGCCCGTGCTGCAGTGGCACACAGGGCTGGAAGGGACATCCTGGGACACTGTTCCCTGCTTCCTGCTGTTGTGGGTGACAGAGAGCAGAGGAGAAGGCACAGGGAAGGCTGCAGAGCTTGCCTCCGTGGTGCTGGCAGCGTGGAGGGTGGGCTGACAGCACTGGGAACGCCTCTGCGTGTGTCAGTCCTTGGGATTGTTAGTGCCAAAAAATTCCCGGTGCTTTGAAACTGCACCAGGCAAAATCCACGTCCCTCAAAAAAGACAGGCAGAAAGGAAGGAGCCGAAATTTTAACCCCGCTGTGCTGTGAATCCTTGATTTCCCATGATTTCCACGGTTTGTTTATGGATGGCCACTCTCACCCCAGGATTTACCAGGAGGGCTCCGAGGCCAGCGCTGCCGTGGTGGCCGTGGAAACCCACACCATCCACAAGCTGGAAGAAGGGATCGGTGAGTTCCCCCTCGGCGTGGACAGATCCCCTCCTGTGCAGGGCTGGTGTCTCCAGCCCGCTGGGCTTCCTTCTGGCTCTGCCCCTGCAGATGCTGATTCCCAGGCATGGATGTGGGTGCAGGGGCTGGGCATACTCTGGAATAAGAGTCTGCTGTTACTGCTTGGTCCCAAAGTCCTGGAAGTGAGATCCTGGCTCTCCTGCAGTGAATGGTAAGGGCTCCCACGGGGTCCAGGGGAGCCGGGATGTCACCCCTAGTCGTGGTGTGCAGGCACTGGCAGCAGGAAGGATGGTGGTGAGGAATGATGGTGCCTGGAGCACCCACCTGGTCACTGGGTCTTTGCTGAACCAACAGCCTGATGGCTTGGGCTGGATGTTCAGAGGAGCCAAGAGCTCCCTGCCATTCCCTGAGCAGTGTGTGGGAAAAGGCTCCTGTCGCTGGGTGCTGTCACTAGATCTTGATTAGAGTTCTGCTTCCTGCGTGGGTGTGGGTCTTTTGGCAGTATTAGCAGAAACTCTACGTGTGAAGTGAACATATTATCAGTAAATATCTGATATTGCTGCTAAAGAGACACCAGAATGTGAGAGAGATCTGCGCTTCAAATTTTAAACCATTTGGTCGCCACAAAGATTGTTCTCATTGACACCTCCCCTTACAGATGTGTTGGATTTCTGGCCTCATGTTCTCCTGATAGCTGAGCTTAATTTTGGGCACAGTTACACCAAAAAGCAGATGCCAGTTGCTGTTGGAGTTAGTACGTGGAGAAGACTAAGAGAGGACTGATCCTGAACTGGGATCAGCCCTTTTTTTTGCTTTCCCAAGCGCAGGTCTCATGACCTGTGAGCTCCCAGCTCCTGCCTTGTGGGATTTGAGCCTTTTAGGTGGGAAATCTCATTTTGAGCCGTTCCTCCCTCAGACCCCAGCACCCTGGAAACGAGCGAGGAGATCGAGATCGCCTATCCCATCACCTGTGGGGAGAGCAAGGCCATCCTGCTCTGGAAGAAGTTTGTCTGCCCAGGAATCAATGTCAAGTGTGTGAAGGTAAGAGGAAAACTCCCTGTGGATTTCTTCTCTGCTTGACCTCCACAGGACTTCCTTACTTCTCGTGTTTCATCCTAACCTTGACCTGGAACTGAGTGGCTTTGCCTGTGGATCGTTGGTGCTCAGGTTGTTTTTAGATGGGGAGAAGCACAGGAAGAGGAGAGGGGGACATCACACATCTTAGATTTCACAGCCATATTGGCCCTTGAGGAGGGACTGAAGGCAGGCAGGGGATGTGTGCTGAGATTTGGAGCTTTGCTTCTTTCCCTCAGAGTCCTGGTACTCCCCTCCTGTCACTTCCCTAGGGATCAGGTTGCACTGGGAAGAGAAATCTTGCTGTTACCTTTTCCCACTTGAGAGTGTGGCAGTGTGACAGCAAATACATCGAGTCTGAGCCCCATGTGCTGCTCCCCCTCAGTGGGAATTACCTGAGTCACTGGAGCAGGACAGAATGGATGCCTGAGGTAATACCTGTGTCAGCTGGAAGCTCCTGGGCTGTTTGATGTAACAGGAGCTCCTACAAGGATCCCCAAGGTGACATGTTCACAGGAGATGATTTGGTTCATACAGAGCCTTCAGGGCTGTTCTTGGTTAGACTGTGTGGTTTGAATGCTGATGGTGGCAGGCCATCCCTGCAAACACCCATCCTGGAGCTGTAGGAATGGCCGTGCCCAGGGGATCAAAGCTGGATCTGGGTGGAAATGGGGCTGTGGACTGGCTGTGTTGGATATCCCAATCTTCCCAAATGATGTTTCCCTGTTTGCTGAGCCTTTGTTTGTCTCGTTGCCAGTTCAATGACCAGCTCATCAGCCCGAAGCATTTTGTTCACCTGGCAGGGAAGTCCACCCTGAAGGACTGGAAAAGGGCCATTCGCCTCGGAGGGATCATGCTGAGGTATCTGACCCTGTCCAGCCTCAGGGCTTCACCCCTGCAGCTGCAGGACCCCGAGCAGGCAATTTGTCTGCTTTGAAGTCCCCAGGAGGTCTCTTGGAGCCTCACAGTACCTGGCCAGCAGCCTGCAGAGATCCTGGCCCTGTGGTGTGATCCAGGATCCCTCATCCTGGACAGAAGTGGCCTCACCTGGAGGTCCTGGTACTTGGTGGGGTGGAACAGGCCTGGAGCCCTGCAGGTGGAGGATGGCCTGTGTTTGCCATCTGAAAGCCTTGCAGGAGGTTTTTTGTGTGCAGAGTGGCCCTGAGGTCTCCCCTCCTGTGTCCTTCCCACGGCTGTAGCATTCCCACGTGGAATACACCCCTTTTGTCTCCAGGCTGAGACTCGAGCTGAGCCTGGTTCTCTTCCCCACTCCCTGCACAGGAAGATGATGGATTCGGGGCAGATTGACTTCTACCAGCACGACAAAGTTTGCACCAACACCTGTCGGAGCACCAAGTTCGATCTGCTGATCAGCAGCGCCCGAGCGCCGGTGCCGGGGCAGCAGAGCGTGGTGCAGACCCCGACCTCAGCTGATGGTAGGAAACCACCTGCCAGTGCCATGGGAATTCCCTCTCATGCTCCTCTCCCTCCCACCTTCTCCCTGGGCACAGCAGGGTGGTCCCACTGTTTCAAAGGAGGCTGCTCTGTTTTTGGGAAGCAAAGTGCGTTCTCTGTCTGCTCAGAGAGGTCTCTCTATCAGGGAGCTCTGCTCTGCAGGACTGGGAAGGGCTGTAAGCAGCTGGCATCAAGCAGGTGCTTTCCAGAGAGGCAGCCTTGGGAGCCAGGAGAGGGATTGAGAGCCTTGAAGGGATCCCTGTTCTGGGATCACCATGGGAGCAAACACCTCAGAGAGCTCACACAGTGTCTTCCCATGTATTTCCCATCTGGGGATCTGTTACAAGGGCAAAAGCTGGGCTCATTCTAGCAATGAATTTAGGGGTGCTGAGCTCCTCCAGAACATCCGTGAACTGGGTGTGATGGCTGGACGTGATTTGATTGTCATTCCAACTGCAAATGCTCAGTGATCCCGTGCTCCAGAGCAGAAATGGATCTCTTTGCTGAGGTCAAGGGAGAATCCTATTCCCAGTCTTATGGCTGGGTGGATTATGTTTCTCTGAGCCCCTGGGTGGGATGGAAGAGTTGTCCATAGGCTAAGGAGAATCTCATGGAAAGCACCATGGCCACATGGTAAAACCTTACAGTGGCTGCACATTGGCTTAGTCCCAAATTTGATCCAAAGGTTGAGTCAGATCCATTTCCCTTCTATAAACCAGCCTGGATCCCCACTCCATCATTTCCTGACGGATTAGGGTACCTCTGGGGTGCAGAGCTCCCTGTGGATGATGCAAGGTTGCCTGAGCCTTATTTTGATTATTTGATTATTCTGATCCATTTCTGCTCCTTTGATGCCAGGACCCCACTTTGCTTTTTGGAGGGCACATGGCTTTCCCTCCAGAACTCCCAGAGCCTTTCACTGTCACAGCTCCAACAAGAGGCATTGGGTTGAAAGAAGCCAAGCACAAACTTTACCTGAGAGTGAAGGAGAGCCCTGGGAGGGGTGATGGGGGTGGGAATCGGAGCAGGGATCCAGGACTGGCATTCCAGCTCCAGAGGGAGCTGACAGGGCCTCTCTGGCAGGGAGCATCACCCAGATCGCGCTGTCGGAGGAGAGCATGGAGGAGGGCATCGAGTGGAACTCGGCTCTGACCGCTGCTGTCACCATGGCCACTGAGGAGGGCATCAAAAAGGACACTGATGAGATCTCAGGTAAGCCCAGGCTGCTTGCTGGATGCTTTCTTCCCCTCTCCTCCCACTGTTACATGTTGGAAATCCTGAAAATAAGGAGAGTTCAGGCAGTAAGCTCTGCCCTGGTGCCTTGGCTATCCCAGCTTTTCCCAGGCATCCAGGCTTCCTGCCAAATGGAGCTCCTCACCACTGCAGGACTTCAGCCCTGGCCTCGTGGCTGATGGATGATCCCCCAGTTCAGATGTTACTAGTTACAGTGAGGGGCTTTTCTTAATTTATTCCAAGGATGTAAAACACGTCTGCCAGCCTGGAGCTGGGCTGGAACCACCAGGGAGCAGAGTCCTGTTTGTTCCCCATCAGCTCTCTAGGCTGTGTCTCCCTGGCTTTGCATTTCCTCTTAGGATCAGTACAGAAGACTTAAGCTGGAATTTCCTCGAGATTTTAAGCTCTGCATCTTGCAAAGATGTGAAATGAACATTTTTCACATCTTTGCCTTGGAAGTCAAGGAGCTGCTTGAAAACCTCCTCTAATTTGCTGCCCGAGTCTGTTTTGCTTGCTTTGGCGTTGGTTGTTTCTTTTTCACTTGTCCTGTCCGCCCCAGTGGCCAAACTGGAAGTCAAATTGCAGAGTTACACTTGCCTGGAAGGTTTAAGGTGGCCCTGTGAGGAAAATGCCAGTTGCTTGTACATGTTGAACTTCTTTTTCCCCTTTTTTGTGCCAGAGGACACGCTGATGTTCTGGAAGGGAATAGCTGATGTGGGGCTGATGGAAGAGGTGGTGTGCAACATCCAGAAGGAGATAGAAGAAGTCCTAAGAGGGGTGCAGCAGAGGCTGGGGCAGTCTCCCTTCCAGATGACAGGTAGGTTGTGAGGAAGGAGCCTCCAAAGGGCAGCTGCAGGCAAAAAAACCTGCCAAGGGTCCATCCCACCACGCAAAGCTGGTGAGTCGGGATTGGGAACGAGTTCCCACTCATTAGCTGAGCTGTGGGAGCACAACCTGGGTGTGTCCTCAGCCTGCCCAGCTGTGAAGTGCCTTTGCTTCGAGGGCACTAGGACACACCATTCCACCCTGGTCCCTGAGCAGAGTGACCCTGGCAGCTTGTTGGGACCTTGGGATGACTGTCCACAGCTCCCGGCCCTTGTGGAAGCTCTTCCCGAGTCACTTCTTGGAGCAGAGCGATTCAAACACTTCTCTGTGACAGTGCAGGCTTAAACAGGTCCTGCCCCCTCACTTCTCGTTCTGCCTTCAGTGGTGCCAGAAAACCTGTTTTTGGGGCTGAACCAGATGAGGGGAATGATCTGGGTTAAAAATAACTCCCCTCCCCTTTTTTAGGGTTATTTTTAACTTGGATCCGTTCCCTAATCCAGTTCAGCACATGGCCCATGTGAGCACCTCTTGTTGATGCTCTTCCTGAGAGAACATCCATGGAGCTACAAACTTCATTTTACCCAGGATATTTTTATTTTTTTTTCCTTAATTTTCTAATTTAACTTCAGGCTGGCGGATCTTTGTGTCTGGAAGGTGGCAGCTTTCAGGAGCTGTGAGTGATTGAAGTCAGTGGATTATAACAGACATTTTGCAAAGCTTTCAGTGGAGCTTGGCATGTTAATGACACTGCCAGCAGCATGGGGTGATGGTTTGTAGGTGGAGAGCTCGTTTGTATCTCTGTGATTGCAAATTATGCTTTCATTTGCAGCAGTTTGGAGCTGCTTGAGCGACACAGCCCTGTTCCTCTTGCTTTATCATGTGAATGGGATTATTAGTCCTGGGATGTCAGAAGGATGAGGGAGTTGGGTCTGCCTTTGTCAGCCAGGCCTTGTGAAAGAACAGAAAGAGTTTTACAAAAAGCAGCAGAAATTTTTTGATGTAATAGGAGCATCTTTTGAGTACCTGAGTCCAGCATGGGACTGAGCACCCTTTCCTTGCAGATGCCGCTGTCCTGAACAACGTTGCCCACACATTTGGCCTAATGGACACAGTCAAGAAGGTTCTGGACAACAGGAAAAACCAGACAGAGCAAGGAGAGGAGCAGTTTCTTTACACACTGGCAGGTAAAGTGCCTAAGAAGGGTTCACATCCTGCTGCTGCTCTTGGGAACAAAGGTGATTTTCCTTCCACGCAACCCCAATGCATCTCCCTTCTCACTGTGTCCTATAGGATCTGTCCTTACCCCTGTCCTGGTCCCCTATTGCCCTGGATAAATGAGGTCACTGTGCTGCTTGTGGCTCCCAGTGTTCCCACCAACACGGGGGGAAGGATGGGGTTGAGGGAGATGTTTCACTGAGCCTGGGTCCCGTTCCTGTGCCCACTGCGGGTGCTTGGCTCTGGGGAGGTGACCCAGCCAAGCTCAGGGAGCAATTACAACTGCCATGGGGGGTTTGTCCACTCTCCTTTATATGTGGGTTTAGCTGGGGGAGCAGAAATGCCCATCTCCTCACCAGCAGGAGTAGCCAGCAGGGATGGAGTGTTACCTGTGCCTTATCCTTATCCAGAACATTGACCCGTGCGGGTGGCAGGAGAACCTGCCGTGTAGTTTGATCCCGAGGGAGATGCCAAGGTCACGCTGGCTGGGTGGTTGGGTGTCCCCTGTCACAACCCTGGGGGGTGATGGAGCCCCAGGAGCTCCCGGTGCCCCCAGCCCGACGCGCCCTTCCCTTCACAGACCTGGAGCGGCAGCTGGAAGAGCAGAAGAAACTCGCCAGGGACCAGAAGGCCAAGTCCCAGACCATCCAGAACGTGGTGCTGATGCCCGTGAGCGCTCCCAAGCCCCCCAAGAGACCCCGCCTGCAGCGCCCGGCCTCCGCCACCGTGCTGAGCCCCTCCACCCCCCTGCAGCAGCCCCAGTTCACCGTCATCTCCCCCATCGCCATCGCGCCCGTCGGGCAGCAGTTCTCCGTGGGCAACATCCCCGTGGCCACCATCAGCCAGGGCTCCAGCCCCGTGACTGTGCACACCCTGCCCTCCGGCTCCCAGCTCTTCCGATACGCCACCGTGGTGTCCTCCTCCTCCTCTTCCTCCTCCCCCTCCTCCTCCTCCAAGAGCAGCTCCTCGGACACGGTGACCCTGCACCCGTCCTCCAGCCTGGCGCTGCTGAGCTCAGCGGCCATGCAGGACAGCGGGGCCCTGGCCAACGTGGCGGCCGTGGTCAACCCCGTGGAGCTGGTGGCCATGGAGTCGGGCATCACCTCCACCATCCAGGCCGTGGAGGGCACCTCGGACGACGGGCAGACCATCATAGAGATCGACCCGGCGCCGGATCCCGAGGCGGACGCGGACGAGCCCGAGGGCAAAGCTGTGATCCTGGAGACGGAGCTGAGGACTGAGGAGAAAGTGGTGGGAGGAGACGTGGAGGACCACCAGCACCAGGTCCATAACGTGGAGATTGTGGTCTTGGAGGACTAGTGGGGAAGGCAAAGCGTCAGTTTGGGGAAGAGTTGGGAATTTGTCTTATTTCAGGCTTTTCTTTTTTTTTTTTTTTTTTTTGGTTAAGCATCTTTTCCAGCCACCCCATTTGTTTCCATGCATATTTTTTCATTGTACTGTATATAATATATATATATATATATAATTTTGTTTTTTAAAACAAAACAAAAAAAAAGCTGGAGAAACACGTGAGACCTGGAAAAGGCTCCATCTCCGTGGAGCACTGAACAATCCTCCCCTGTTTGCAGGGTCAAGGAGAGACTGGATCTCTGCTGGACAACCCAACCGGGAGGAACCAGCCACGCACTTGGTGCTTCTGCTCCGGGGCTGCCCCGGCCCCAGAGACTTTATCTGAGAGACAATAACCAGTGGCTGGAGCGTGGATGTGGCTGTGGGAAGGGGTGACGGATTTGGGGTGGAACAGGTACCTCATTTGTATTTTTATTTTCCCCAGGAAAGGGAGTTCTGTCAGACTCTTCGCTGTCACCTCAGCTGGGATTTTTTTTATTGTTATTCTTGCTTTGGGGAGCCTGACAGTCCATGAATTCACTGTCCATGTTCTCCTCCTCCCCTTCCTCCACACAAATTGTTTTTATATCTCTATTTTTTTGTATTTGTTTACTCTCTCCCTTCCCGCTGCCCAGATTGCCCAGCTGCAAAGCCCTGGGGCCTCCTCTCCAGGCTCCCTGTATCCCAATCCCACTTCTTCCCGTGGCACTTTCCCCCCCATCCCTTTCCCTGCCTGGCCAGGCTCGGTGCTGCCGCTTGGAGACTCTGAGATCACTTTCAGCCTTTCACAGAAAGGCAAAAAAAATACCAACTCAAGCTCAAACCCAGACCCTCCCCTTGGCTGCTCAGCGCCACAGGGACCTTTTTGGGGTGTACAAAGCATGTTGTGCTGTTGCTTTCCGGGAGAGCTGGATCCTGGATTGGGACAGCTTCTGTTTACACTGTGTGCTGAGGCTGCTCCGTGCTTGTCGCTACTCGTTTTGGTGGTTTTATTTTTGTATTATTATTATTATTATTACTATTATTATTATTTTTTTTTCCCTTCTTTCTTCCTATAATCTCTTGGCAGGATTAGAACTGGCACGTTGCTGAAATAATGTGCACCCCACTGTTTTCCCTCTTTATTTTTCGGTGGGAAGATGGAAAGGGGGAAGCGCTGGGTGCCTTTAGAGCTGCGGAGGTTTGGGAGGGGCTGGGAGGGGGGAGCTGCTTGGCTGGAAATATTAAGCAAAACAACAGGCAAAGGAAAAAGAAAAACACACCTGGGGAGGGCGGGGGGAGGGCAGGAAGATGTGTTTGGCTATTTTTTTGCATTAAAAGGAAAAATGGAACTAAGCTCCAATGGTTTATTCGTGGAGAGATGGCAGGCAGCGACTCCGTCACCTGCGAGTCAGGGTGGGATGGGCAAGGATCCCTCTGCCTCAGTGTGGGAGGGGTGGTTGCTGCTGCTCGAACTCTGGGAAGTGTTTCCTGGCTTGGGATGGAGGTGGGAAGAGCTGTGGGAGTCAGATCCCATGTTCAGCCTGGAGGAGAGAAGGCAGCAGGGAGACTTTGGAGCCCCTTGCTGTGTCTAAAGGGGCTCCAAGAGAGCTGGAGAGGGACTTGGGTCAAGGGATGGAGGGACAGGACACAGGGAATGGCTTCCCCCTGCCAGAGGGCAGGGATAGATCGGATAGTGGGAAGGAATTGTTCCCTGTGAGGGTGGGCAGGCCCTGGCCCAGGTTGCCCAGAGAAGCTGTGGCTGCCCCTGGATCCCTGGAAGTGTCCAAGGCCAGGTTGGATGGGGCTTGGAGCAACCTGGGCCAGTGGAAGGTGTCCCTGCCCATGGTAGGGAGGTGGAACGAGATGCACTTTAAGGTCCCTTCCAACCCTAACCCTCCATGGTTTTGGATCAAGGATCCACCTCCTTCCACATCCATCCACCTTCCCTTCCTTCCCTTCTCGCTCGCTTCATGCGAGCCTTGACCTGAGAGGGACGGGGCCTTGTATTGTAGAGCTGGGGATGGCGGGGAGCCAAACTCAGGCTGTGCTGAATCCGCCGCGTTTCGCCCCAAATCCGGCGCGGGGCCGCCTGGCCCTTTAAGAGCAGTTCCCGCTCCCGGCCGAGCGGGGGCGCTGCTGCTTCCCCCCCATCCCCGCGGTCCTCCTCCGTCCCGGCATGCCCCGCGAGCGCCCCCTCATTTCCCGCCATTGTGCCTGGGCGCGCGCGGCGCGGTGACCGGGCGGGGGGAGCGCAGGCGGCGGGGCCCGGGGGCCATAGAGACCGGGGGCGGGGGGATAGAGCGTCCCCCCCTCGCCCCGCTCCGCTCCGCCCCGCCGGCCGCCGCCGAGTCCGCCAAGGGGCCGCCCCGCAGCCCCCGCCGGGCCCGGACAAAGCGCGGCCGCCGCCGCCTCCTCCTCCTCCTCCTCTCCCCGCCCCGCCGCCCGCCCGCAGCCCCCGCCGCGGAGCCATGTCGGCCAGCAGCCTCCTGGAGCAGGTACGGAGCCTCCCCCTGCCGCCCGCGCCGCCGGGCCGAGCTCCGCCGCGCCGGGCCCAGCGCGGGGGGAGCGCCCCGGGGCGGCCGCGGCCTCGCCGCGCTCCATTGTGCTGCGGCGGGGCCGGGCCGCGCCTGGGCTGGGCCCGGGGCTGTTCCCCCGCTCCTTGAGCCGGGCCTGTCCCGCACCGGGCCTGTTTCCCCGCCAGGCCCGGCTCCGTCCCCACCGGGCCTGGGCGGCCCTCGCTGGGCCGGCTGCGTTTCCTCCCCCCCGGGTGTGTTTTCCCCCTTCCTTCCCCCAGGCCGGGTCTTTTTCCCCCCGCCCCGAGCTCGTCCTTCCTCCTGCCGGAGCCGCTTCTCCCCCTGACTCACCGCTCTCCTTGTCTCCCTCCCTCTCTCTCTCCCCCCGCGCCGCCGCTGCTCCAGAGACCCAAGGGCCAAGGCAACAAAGGTGAGAGCCCTGGGCAGGGCTGGGAACGCGGGGGAGGGAGGGAAGGAGAGTCTCCCCAAAATCTGCCGGGAGCCAGGAGGGGAGCAAACCCCGCGTGGCTGCGGGAAGTTTGCGGGTGTTGATTGTGCTGCGTGTGGTGTGTTAGAGCCGGTGGGAGTTCGTCGTGTTGCAGGGTTTGGCTTTGAATGCTTTTTAAGTCGGTAAACGTTGGGGAGTTTGTTGCACGTTGTTTTCTGAAGTTTCACGTCTCTCCTCAGTGCAAAACGGCTCCGTGCACCAGAAGGATGGGCTGAATGATGACGACTTTGAGCCCTACCTGAGCCCCCAGGCCCGCCCGGTGAGTACCGGGAGCCTCTTGGCTTCCTGCTGCTCCAGCAGAGGGGAATTTCGCCTCCTTGCCTGTGTTTCCCCTCTCCACTGACTGCATTTTGATCTTTGCCAGCACTTTATATCCCACCCTACACCTGCATTTCCTGCAGGTAGCAAGCACTGACTCTGCCTTGAGGTTGTGGTGGTGGGTGAGGTAGGAAGGGGTTTAGCTGCTTTTTGAGGCTGTGAGAACTTCCTCCACGTGGTGTTCAGCTCCTTTTTTTTTCCCTTTTTCAACCTCCGAGTCACCATTTCTGCTCTTTCAGTTTTGCTCTTGTGCCTTGTGTTGGTGCCTGGCTCTTTGCACCACACAGACGTGCTGAGCTGGGTTGGGAAGTTGCCTCACACGAGGCTGCTGTGCTCAGCAGGGCTTTTGGAGGATCAGATCAACCTTCTTATCTCTGCACCGAGTCAACTGACAGTGCCTGTCCTGGGGATTTCTGTTTTTCACCAAAAAAAAAACCCAAAAACACCCCAGAGCCTGTGGTGATAAAGAGTGTTGAGACTTTGCTAGAACCCCAATTACAAGTCCAGCTGGAGGGTCTGTGACCAGCCCCTGGAATTCAGGCTCCCAGCTACTTTTCCTCCTCACTTTCCCTTAGATTGGCTCCCCTGTTAACTGGTTTTTTGTTTGTTTTCCTTAATGAGCTGCAGGGGAGTGACACAGAACAGATGGAGTTCAGCTGATTAGATGTACAAGTGAGCACCGGAGATAAACATCTGTAGTAGCACCAGAGCTCTCAGTTCGTTCTCTTGGCTTCTCTTTTCAGTTGGGATCAGTAAAAATAAGCTCTTCTGGTTTCCCCTCTCTGTATTTTTGCTCACTTTTACCAGTCAGTACATTGGTTTTTTTCATGTAAAGGTGATGCCTGTTTTATTGGGACACTGTTTTCTGCCTCAGTGACATTTTCAACAGGTATTTTCCTTTTTTGTGCTAAAGGTCTGAGGGTAAATGTTCTTTGTGTCCTGTCAGCTGTTCATAATCTTCAGAGTTCACCTGTCCATCGAGATAACTCACTGCATTCTGCTCCCTAAAAAGTTACAAGCCTAAATTCAGCCTTCATAGGGTGAAAGAGAGTGATTGCTTTCTCAAGTCTTGAATAAAACCAGCTATTTTTCTGGTAGCTGTCATTTAAGAGTGGGGTTTTTTCTATCCCAGTTACCAACATCCCAAATTTCCAGCTTCCTTCTGAATGTGGATGGTATTTTCTATATTTAAGTCTCCTAAAGAAAATGAGAGTTACTACAGTTTTGAAGCAACACAATATTTTACTCTATTTTGCATGTTTGATGAAGAACTTCTGGATCTTTAATTTCCTTTGGTGTGTCAAAAACGCATTTTAAAAATCAGGAAGTGATTGGAGGTGCCCCAGGAGGCAGGAATTGAGCAGGAGGGAGGTGAAACCAACTGAGTTATCTTGGAGTGGGACCTTTGGGTGACTCTGTCTCAGTTCCTCGCTGTGCTGTGGTGCTTCTCAGCTCCGTAAAACAGAATCCAAACCCTGAGAGGCTGAGTCTGGAGGGAGGCACAATTCTGCTCAGAAATACAAAGGTATCACAGGAGGTGGCAAAGGGAGAAGTTGGAGGTGTGGCTCTGGATAAGGAGTTAAAGGAATTTCGGGGTTGCTTCCCAAGCTCTCCACACTCACAGGAGGTTACCAAGCTGTGCAGTTTCACTGTTCCTCATTCCCCAGCTGCTCTTGGAGGTGTGACTGTTTCTGCCAGCCCCTCGATGGGGTTACTGTGTGTTTTAAAGATAGGCAGTCAATGATTCTTCAGCCCTTTAAAAACCAGAAGCACTAGGTCAGGTTCACTTAGTTCTGTGGTCTTAGGTGAAGGGGAACAGCAAATATGAGGAACTAACTCTGTGAAAAGTCTTAGTCATGGAGAGAATGAGAAGCTGGTGGAGTTTTATTGGCAGGGTTGAGGTGACAAGGGACAGGTTTTAATGTGACAGTGATGTGGTTCCTGTGCTCCTGTGGAGAGGAAACAGCTCTGCTTGGGTTTAGGGATGGCCCAGCATGTTCCTGTTCCATTAAAGGAAGTTTTAGGAGGGCAAATGTTACTCTTATAATTGAGGGGATTGACTTGGGAAGAGACTTTGCTGGTTCAGAATAATAACATGGGGGTTTAAGTTCTATTTGCCTCACAAATTATTGTCAGTGCTGGTGCTTTTGGACAGGTTGAGCCCTGGCTTCAGCAGGACTGAGCTCCTCAATTAGTAAAACCCTGGGTGGGAGTGAGTTTTGTTGCTAATTTGGAGGCTTTTGTGGGAAAACAAAGGCTGGAGGGAGCAGCTCTGTGAGCTTTCCTGCCTTCACACCGTGAAGTGCCACGGAAATCTTACATTAAATAATTCCTGTCAGTGTTTGTGAACTCGGGGCTGGGTTGGCCCCAAACCTGTTGCCTTCCTGGAAGGTGGAGTGGCAAACCAGCTGTTCCTGGAGGGTGCCAGAGCCATCTTGAGAGGCTCCCTGGATTTCAGCACGGCGTGAAGTCCTCCGGGAGCCGGCGCTTGGCACGTGAGAACGTGATTCAAGCAGAAATGGAGCAGGGCCCGCTGCAAAGCCAGGCTTTCAACTGGGAGCTGAACCTGCCTTTGATCTGCCCTGCACTGGGCTGGCCTGTCAGGGGCTGGGGCAGCACGAGGCTGCTGCTCACAGGTTCAAATTACTGAGGATAATGTCCATTAGCGCGGCTGGAACCGCTCCCCGGAGGGGACCTGGCTTGGAATGGGAAATGACAGATGGTTTTTTCATGTAAGCAAATCTTAGGGATGTCTGAGAACTTCCCTAATTGTCAAATTAGGCGTTTGTTTTTGTAACCTAAAGGCTACTTGGATGTTTAAAAGGGAGACCGAGGCACGGAGCAGGGTGGTTTTGTCTTTTTTTTGGCCTCTCTGGGTTTGAAACCTGCTCGTGCTGCTGCCTCTAAAAGGCTCCTCTTGAGATCCTGTGGATTACTCCCCATTTCCAGGTATTTTTAGTATGTGCCCACAGCACTGGAGCAGTTGGTGTTCTGAGGAATAGGCTTTAAATCCCTGTTTGTCTGCAAGTTCTTGGAATGCTGTGAGCTCTGCAACTTTAAATTGTGGGAACAAAGCTGTTTCCGTGGGTAGCAAGTTTGAGGAAGGCAATTAGGGACACACATAATTTTGGCAGTGTGCTTCCACTGGATGCTTTTCCTCCTTCTTCCACTTCTGCCTGCATCCTTCCCACCAGCTTTCCCTCCAACACCAGAATAAGGTCTAAATATGTTACACAGGCAAGAAAAGCGCTCGTTGGGAGTAGCTACAAACAGAAGATATTTGGATGCAAGGTAAGATAGTGGTTTTAAAGCCTGAGCAGGAGCTCTGGGGCAGCTCAGTGTCCTACCCCACTCCATGCATCAGGAACTCCACGTGGGGAGCCGTCTGAGCCTTTGTCTTTAACCTCCCTGGCAATCAAACAGCTTTTTCGAGCCCTTGTAACAAAGGAGGTGTTCAAGGCTGGGCCTGTTTATCTGCCCAGCCCTAAGGTAGGGAGGGGTGGGGCACGGGAAGTCTGGAGCTGGCTTTATTCCTGGTCCCTTGAAATGGGTTCGGCTCCTCCTGGCTCGCCAGCGCTCATGTTGTTGTGGTTTCCTTTCAGAACAATGCATACACTGCAATGTCTGATTCCTACTTACCGAGCTACTTCAGCCCCTCCATCGGATTCTCCTACTCCCTAGGGGAGGCTGCCTGGTCCACGGGGGGAGACCCCCCCATGCCCTACCTGACCTCGTACGGACAGCTGAGCAACGGGGAGCCCCACTTCCTCCCCGACGCCATGTTCGGGCAGCCGGGGGCCCTGGGCAGCACCCCCTTCCTCGGGCAGCACGGCTTTAACTTCTTCCCCAGCGGGATTGACTTCTCAGCCTGGGGCAACAACAGTTCTCAGGGACAGTCCACTCAGAGCTCGGGCTACAGCAGCAACTACGCCTACGCCCCCAGCTCGCTGGGGGGGGCCATGATCGACGGGCAGTCGGCCTTCGCCAGCGAGACCCTCAACAAGGCCCCCGGCATGAACACCCTGGACCAGGGCATGGCAGCCCTCAAGCTGGGCAGCACGGACGTGGCCAGCAGCGTCCCCAAAGTGGTGGGCTCGGCCGTGGGCAGCGGCTCCATCACCAGTAACATCGTGGCCTCCAGCAGCCTCCCCCCGGCCACCATCGCGCCGCCCAAGCCGGCCTCGTGGGCCGACATCGCCAGCAAACCCGCCAAGCAGCAGCCCAAGCTCAAGGCCAAGAACGGCATCGCCGGCTCGAGTCTTCCGCCGCCCCCCATCAAACACAACATGGATATCGGCACCTGGGACAACAAGGGCCCCGTGGCCAAAGCCCCGGCGCAGGCCCTGGTGCAGAACCTGGCCCAGCAGCCGGCGCAGGGGTCCCCGCAGCCCGTGGGCCAGCCCATGGCCGGCAGCCCGCCGGTGGCCCAGGCTGCGGGCGGGCAGCAGCCCCCAGCCCCGCTGCCCGTGCCCCCGGCACAGCCGGCCCCGCTGCCCGTGCCCCCGGCACAGCCCACCCGCTGGGTCGCCCCCCGCAACCGCGGCAGCGGCGGCTTCGGCCAGAACGGCGTGGACGGTAACGGGGTGGGGGCGGCCCAGACCGGCTCCGGCTCCCCTTCGGAGCCGCACCCGGTCCTGGAGAAGCTGAGGTCCATCAACAACTACAACCCCAAGGATTTTGACTGGAACCCGAAGCACGGGCGGGTGTTCATCATCAAGAGCTACTCGGAGGACGATATCCACCGCTCCATCAAGTACAACATCTGGTGCAGCACGGAGCACGGCAACAAGAGACTGGACGCGGCCTATCGCTCCATGAACGGCAAGGGCCCCGTGTACTTACTGTTCAGCGTCAACGGTAGCGGCCACTTCTGCGGCGTGGCAGAGATGAAATCTGCTGTGGACTATAACACCTGTGCAGGGGTGTGGTCCCAGGACAAGTGGAAGGGACGCTTTGATGTCAGGTGGATTTTTGTGAAGGACGTTCCCAACAGCCAGCTGAGGCACATCCGCCTAGAGAACAACGAGAATAAACCAGTGACCAACTCCAGGGACACTCAGGAGGTGCCTCTGGAAAAGGCTAAGCAGGTGTTGAAAATCATTGCCACCTACAAGCACACCACCTCCATCTTTGATGACTTCTCACACTACGAGAAACGCCAAGAGGAGGAGGAAAATGTTAAAAAGGTAACGTGTCTGTGGGGCTTGGACGAGTCCTGTGGGGCAGGAGGGGCTACCACGGGCTGGACTAAATCCAGGGTGTGGACCAGGCTTGTGAACAGGCTTGGTAGGCATCAGCTGCCTTTTGGCTACCTGCCTGCCCTCACCTGTAACCCACACCCAAATGGCAGCCCCTGTTTGGGGGGGAAGTGTCCAGAGGAGGCCACCAGGTTGATTAGAGGGATGGAGCATCTCCGCTGTGGGGAAAAGCTAAGAGAGTTGGGATTGTTCAGCCTGGAGAAGAGAAGCTTTGGGGTGACCTAAATGCAACCTTCCAGTGTCTGAAGCGAGCCCATAAAAAGGATGGAGAGGGACTATTTATAAGTGACAGGACAAGGGGAAATGGCTTCAAACTGAAAGAGTAGGTTTAGATTGGATATTAGGGGTACATTCTTCCCTATGAGGGTGGGGAGGCCCTGGCACAGAGGGGATGTGGCTGCCCCAGCCCTGGAAGTGTCCAAGACCAGGCTGGATGGGGCTTGGAGCAACCTGGGCTAGTGGAAGGCGTCCCTGCCCATGGCAGGGGGTGGAACTGGATGTTCTTTAACATCCCTTCCAATCCAAACCAGTCTGTGAATCAGGTGCCAGCTCCTGGCAGAGCAGGGTGAGGAGCCTTGCCCAGGCCCTGCCTCTGATGGACCACATGGGTTGCCCTGAGTCTCAGCCTCCCCTGAGTGCTGTGCTCTAAACAAAATGTATTTCTGTGCCACTGTCAACTCCTGAGTCAGAGCAGTTTGTACTTGGAGACCAGTGGGGGGTTTGGGGAGTTGTAGAAACCAGAGATGGCTCTAATCCACCCCGTGCCCACAGCAGGGTCAGTGTGACAGATGTTTCCCACCACTTGTAGAACCTCCAGGAACAGCAGTTCCTGTCCCTCCCCAGGCAGTCTATTCCTATGCTTAATTATCCTTCCTGTAAGGAGGCTTTGTCTAATGCCCAGCCTAAATCTCCTTCACTGTAACTGAACTCTGTGACTGCTTGTCCTGTCTCCAGTGGACATGGATGGGGTCATTCCATTCCTCATGGCTGTGTTTGGGGCCAGGGTGGGCTGTCACCTGCTGTCACCATCAGTGTGGCACCTGTGCTGAGCTCACCACCTGCCTGCAGCTCCTCTGGGTGCTGCTGGGGTTGGCTCAAAGCCTCCTCTCATCGTCTGCTCCTCAACGACTCGTTAATTGAAAATCCTGCCCCAAATTCAGTGGCCAGTGGGGCTTTGAATCTTGCTTGGGTTCAGCTGTGGTAAAGTCACCTGGGGCTGCCCCTCCCCACAATGCAGGTCTGGCTTGTGTTTGATCAAAAATGATAATTACAAATTAGCATTAGCACAGCTGGCTGGGAGTTTGCCAAGTTTCCTGATGGTCTCTTTGGTTTCAGCAACAGGGAATTTTTCACCCAGCAGTTGAGGAACAGAGGCAGGAGCTGCAGCTGCTCACAGTGACAGTTGATGCAGTTTTGAATTTTTGATGTATATTTTACATGGAGCATCTTACAAATAATATCACTTTAGCACAAAGGTGGTTTGCTTCCCGCTGCTGGAGGGCAGGGTTAGGTGGGAAGTTGGGAAGGAATTGTTCCCTGTGAGGGTGGGCAGGCCCTGGCACAGGTTTGCCCAGAGAAGCTGTGGCTGCCCCATCCCTGGAAGTGTCCAAGGCCAGGTTGGACGGGGCCTGGAGCAACCTGGTCTGGTGGAAGGTGCTCCTGCCCTTAGCAGTGGATGGAATGAGATGAGCTTTAAAGTCTCTTCCAACCCAAACCATTCCATGGTTCTGTGACATCCTCCAGACTTAAAGGAGCAACAGTTTACAGCATGAGAGAGTCAGACCTTGGCCCTGTAAGAGAATGCAGGGGAGAGGGGAAATGCTGCTGCAGGACAGGTGAGGGACAGATGGATGAGTTAATACTGAGTACCTGTAAGCAGAAGGAAGAGGGAAAGAGTGGGAAAGACTGTGGGGAAAAACGGACAGGCCGACAGTTTCTTCCTGTGGAAAACTTCTGTGTTTGCTGTGTAAAGCCTGAAAATCAGGAAGACACCCAGAAACGAGGCTTAGCAATCCTCTTAAAGCTGTAAACCATCTTCCCAGTTGCATTTTGAAGTCTCCTCCCCTGCTTGCTTCGCTCCGGGCTGTGCCGTGGAGGGTCGGAAGCAGCGGCAATACCCGGAGCGCCAGCGCCGCCTTCCCGATCCGCGTCCAGAGTGGATGCGGCGGCAGCAGCTGATTAGGAAAGCGCTTTATTCTTTGAAAAGGAACTTAGTCATAGGTCTCTGGAATCCACAGATGAGGAGGGAGCTGTGTGGAAACAGGGCTGGTGTTTGCTCTTTGCCGTTGACTCCCTCGCTGTTGGGCGCTCCGGGCCCCTGGGACATCCGGCACGGAGGAAGTGACTCGGTTGTTCTTGCAGAACAGTTTGACCTCTTCGGTCGCTCTCTGACGCAGCCTGGAAAGTGGTTGAGGTTTTCTGTAACTGCTCTCTTCGTGGTTTCCATTGAGAACCAGTTATTTTTGCTCTGGCAGGGTTTTGGGTTTGCCTGGAGTGATGCTCACGCTGGGATTGTAGGTGCCAAAAAAGCCCAAGCCACGCTCTGTCTGCCTTGAAGCGTCTCAGGTAATCGCCTGAATTAAAAAAAAAACAAAAAACACATGAGGAACCAGGGTTGAAGCACTGAAAAGTTCAAATGCTCTGCTCTGGCAGCAGCTCCCTGCCTGCTTTTTGTGCTGCTTTTGTGCTGGGGAAATCCCATTGCTCCCAGCTCTTTGTCTCTGCCACAGTGTGAGGCGTTAATGCTCTGCAGTTGTGTTCCTTGAAGCTTAAATGTCTCAAGGTTTGGCCTGTTTGAAACTTCCCCCAAGCTGAAATTGTCTCACTCAGGTTTAACTTGCCCAGACCTTTGGCTGAGTTGCAGTTTGATTCCTGGTTGCTGCCTGGAATGGATGAGCTCTTGTGAAAGTCTGGGAACTCTTGAGTATTCTTTTATACTCCTCATTTCTGAAGTATTTCCTAAAGCAGGTCCAAGAAATGATATGAAGAATGCTTTGCTTGGTATTTGTGTTATTCCCATTGTCCAGTGAAGAGGGTAGGTAGTTCTGTGTTGAAAACACTGGAATAATCCTCTGGCTTGTTAATAATAATAATAGTAATCCTGTTGCCTGTGCCCATCCTGTCCTTGGAGGTTCATCTCCATTCCTTCTCAGTGTCTTACTTTGCTCTACTGATCCAGTTATTTAAAAAGCTTGGATGTTCTCCTGACCCAAAATGATGAAGCCAACTCCCAGTGCAATCCTACCCAGAGCAGTTTAGGACTCCTTGAAACCCAGAGCAGCTGCTTTGATGGTAGAGCATGTCACTGATGTCTTCCTTGTAAGAATTATTTTATGTTTTGTTTTTTTTTTTAAACAACCACAAAAATCCCTGGCCTGCAGTCATGCACTTGGATTTCTAGGAATGCTGCCGTGACCTGGGTGCAAAGATCTCCAATAAAGGTCTGCCTGGTGTTTTGTGGAAAAGCAATCGATGGAAACTCTAAGGGAAGTTTGTTTTGGTTCTTTTCTCCCTGCCCAGGCTTGGGATACTTGGCTACTTGCAGGTTCCAGGGATTTTAGGAAGGATGTCCCATGAAAAGCAGTCGGATGGTCAGGGTTGCAGTTGAGACAGGGACTCTGTGCTGGGACTTTGGGTATTGAGTCAGGCTGAGCTGGGCAGGATGGGGTGGGCTTTGGTGGGGTTTTCCATGCTGAGCTTCAGCAGCCTGAAGCAGAAAGGTGGGATTGGCCAGTCTGGAGCTGTTATTTCCAGAATTGTGCTGCTTTGTGGCTCAGCTGACAGTGCTGGTTAAAGGAGTATTAATAGTGTCAAGTGTCACTGCCCCCTTGGAACATGTGATTTAAGACATAACTGAGGGGTGTTGTGTGAGCCTGTGAAACAGCCTGTTTCACAGTCCCTGGAATACAGGAATGCTTTCTGATGGACTTCACAAAGCTCTTTTCTTCTTCCTAATTTATAACCTCAGAGGGGAGGAGAGAGAATGTTCCCTGTAGGGTGGACCAGCACTTTCTCCTGCTCTCGGTCATCCTGGGAATGCTGCTTGGCCTTGGCTTTCCCATATCCTGCAGGGCAGTATTTCTGACCACAAGGTTCAATTCCTGGATATTCCACATCCAGGCAAAGCCAGCTGTTTCCCGTGGCAGTGAGGGAACGCTGCTTGCACTCCCACAGTTCCTTTCATCCTGTGATCCCGAGGCTGTTTGCTCTTTTCTGCTCCAAATCCTGGCCATAGTGAAGTTAATTGATTGATGCACCAGGACAGGATTCCCTCTCTGTGCTGCTCAGCAGTGCACATGGTTTCTCTCAGTTTATTTCCAGGCTGTTTCAATCCTGTGGGTCTGTGTCCATGCTCATATATTTTGCTCAGGAATAGGGGAAACCAACCATCCTGCTTATTCCAGGGGTTTGGCACTGGCTCTTTGACATAAGGAATGCTTTGTGCTTAGGATGTTTTCAAGCCGGCACTCCACAGCCCCTGACAACACTCGTGGGTTTTTAGTGGTTGCAGCTTTGTCTGAAGGCAGGAGAGAACTGGAGGGGAAGGTTTAGATCTGGCTGATGCTCTAATCCATGTTTTCTGCTGTCAGACAGCAGAAAACTGTGTTTCCTCATCCCTAAAACCAGGAGCAGCTGGGAGCCATTTCACTGCAACTGAAGTGGAAGCTGAGTGGTGGGAAGAGCAAACCTGTTGCACTTGCCTCATAGCCCTGTCTCTCTCTGTTAGCATCTTGATAGGAGTCTTTAATATTTTAATGTACCATGGCAGGGGGTTGGAACTAGAAGATTTATAAGGTCCTTTTCAAACCCAAGCTGTTGTAGGATTCGAGGACTGGGGTTGGGATTGGGCCAGACAGAGTGCAGGCCACGTGCACTGAGGAGGAGGTTTTGCAGCTCCCACAGTTATGGCTTTGAGCAGGGCGAGTTTATCCCACACCCTGTTCTTGTGAATGTTCCCAAACTGCTTTTTGCCCACTTGGTGTGGTTAAAGCTTCGTGGCCCCTCCCCTCCAGGTTATGTTGGCTGGGTGATTTCAGCTCCCAGGGTCGATTTAGAGTAGATACCCAGAAGAAATTCCTCCCTGTGAGGGTGGGCAGGCCCTGGCACAGGTTTGCCCAGAGAAGCTGTGGCTGCCCCATCCCTGGAAGTGTCCCAAGGCCAGGTTGGGGCAACCTGGGCTAGTGGAAGCTGTCCCTGCCCATGGCAGGGGGTGGAATGAGATGGGCTTTAAGATCCCTTCCAACCCAACCCATTCAGTGATTCTATGACAAACTGCACACGTGTGGCTGGCAAATTCCCTAGAAATACCATGGAGGGCTTGGAATGCAGAAAGGAGTGTGAGAGGTGTCAGCAGCTCTGGCTGCTTTCTTTTTGCCCCCAACCCCCCACCAAGTTCTGGGTAACTTTGCTGACATTGAGGTTAAGAGCTACTGACACAGGTATTGTGTTCCAGGCTATTTTATGAACAGCTGCTTGTCCAGAAAAAGTCCTTATCTTCCAAGGAAACCTCTTAGGCAGCTGTTGTGTTGAGTGAAAGCCCCAGGGCACGTCCTGGTCCAGTTCCCTGGATTTTCTCCCTGGTGCAGGAGTGCAGTGGGTCACAAGACGTGGCTGAAAGCCGATTAGGATCCCAAGGTGGGCAGTCCATCAAGAGCAGCTCCCTGCACACTATTCCTCCCTTGTTCTTGTTGAAAGTGTAATTCTGCAGCAGCTTTTTGCCTGAAAGAAGCTACCATTTTTTTTTTTTTTTTTCCTTCTTGCCCGTCTCGGGTTCACGAATCTTTTTGTGCAGTACCGTGTGAGCGCTCTCACCACTGTTAGCCCTCTCGTTTTCCTGCCTGCTCCTGTTTGTACCTGGTAGTAATTGTCCCGTTTGATGGCTTTGTTGAGTTAATAACTAATTCCTCGGTGGTGCAAACCGCTGGAGGTTTGGCAGCAGGAGCAGTGCCACCCTTATTTACCACAGCAGTTACCCGGGGAAGTCCCTGTTAACAAGGGCTGTCATTATCCACACTCATGGCTGGGATAGAGACTTGTTTGTAGCTCCTTCCAGTGACTGGTGCCCAGTGTGAGGCTTTTTAATTGACATATAAGTCATGTAACAGTGCATTTGAACAGTTAATAATGAACCATTTGGGTTTTGTGAGCCTCCTTCAGCGAGGACTTGGAAATTCCTGGTTCTGTATCATTAGAACTCTTTTTTTTTTCTCCTTCTTTTCCTTAAAAGCACAATGCTGAGCTGCTTTTGTGTGTGGTTACCTGCAGAGCTATTGTAATGTAATCCCAGTTTAGAAGACTTAGATAAAATCTACCTAAAACTGGGGTCTTTTGTTTCTAATCTTGAGGGGGGGAAAGGAAAACCCAGCTCTTTTGAGTTTCCTTCCCAGAGTGTCTCTGTGCCCAGAGGGAAGGCTCTGCTCCCTCAGCTCAGTTGTTTTTGGTGGCATCTCCCTGTAAAAACGACTTCAGAGAACTCCCCATCATCATATTTGCAGAATTTAAGAAGTCCTGATTTGGGGTTCAGCCAATTCCAGTGCCATGCTCTTGATAGATTTAAAGGAGAGGAAGAAAAGAAGCTGAAATACAAAACCACGTTCCAGTGAATGTGGCTTTGTGCTGCCTTTCAAGTGGCTGTAAAATGAGGGGACACACTATAGGGAGTGCTGGCTCTTTTGCCTGAGCTCGTGAATTCAGCTCTTCATGGTTGACAGAAGCAGGCAAATAGATCTCCTCTTGTCCTCTCATAATGCAGAATATTGTGGTGTGTTTTTCTTGTGACATGAACTGTTTCTCCTGCTTTCTTTGGGGTGGAGGTGGTGTTTTAGCCTCACTGGGTCTGTGCAGTCTGATGTTGGCATCTCATGTGACTGCAGACACCTGTACAAGGACATATTTATCCATCTCTGGAGCTTTCCTTGCCTTTAACAACTTGTGGCTCAGGAATTTCTGTGACCCAGAGGTTGTGTCTTTATTAGTTCACGATTTCTTGTCCAATATGCTCCTGGAGCATCCTCAGGCTCTCGAGTTCTTCGGCTTAATTATGTGTTGTGTGAGGAAATGTGTCCTTTTATTTTATTTTGGGTCTGCCTCCTGTGATTTCCCCCTGGTTTCTTGTGCTGGAGGAGGTGGTGAGCAGTTATTTCAGTGTCCTCCCTGTCTGCTCTGCTTTTCCAGTCATCTCTTCCAGGCTGGAGAGCACAGTGGCTCTGCAGATGGAAACCCTTCTGTCCCTCGCTCATCCCTGTTGTTCTTTGACCCTTTTCCAGTTCTTTTCCAGAGCTCCCTTTGGGTTTGTGTAAGAGCAGAGTGGTGGGTTCTGTTCAGGGTGATGGTTGCTTTTCTTGAGGGTTTCCATTTTCCTGGAGTTACAGATTTTGTTTCCAATGGCCAGTTTGGATCCTGTCACCTTGGAGTTAGGGCAGGGGTTTTCCCAGGTGCATCTTTAAATTTATCCCAGCCAGGTAAACCAAATTCACTGCAAGGCTCAGCTGCTTTTTCTCACAAAGTCCTCCACAGCTGACTGCTATTTTTATTACCCTGAATAGCTCAATATCATCAGTAAACTTTGATCACTTTGTTATTCACTCCTCTTTCAGATTCCACTGAAGCTCCATGGGCTTTCAGTCCTTGGCATTAAACCTGCATGGTGTGATGGGGGACACTGCAAAGGCTTTATTAACTCTACTGCAGTGAGGATTTTAGAACATTAAAGTGAAGTTCCTTCCTTTTTATAAAGAGTCTCGTGGCACCAGTGCTAATACTTATTGCCTGGGTGATGATTTAAGGCAACCAAAGTAATGAAACACATTTCCCTTGGAGTGGTGGGGAAGAATAAAGATTCCCTGGTTGAAGACTGGGAGAATTTTCTTCCTTCCTAATGACTTGAAAGGACTTGTGTTATTTTGCTTGTGCTCCAAAGCCAGCAAGTCCAGTTCCAGTCCCTGGTGTGATCCCAGTTGTCCTCTCACGTGGAATACCACTGGGAATCCTCCCAGCCTGCTCTGCCTCCCTCTTTGCTCTGAATATTCATGGATGTTCTCAGCTTTTCACCTTCCTTTTGCCCTGAGGGACGAGGCTCCCTATGGGAGGGTCATTATAAATGTTTATGGGAATTGGGCTGCTTTATTCAGGCAATTAAATGTGGTGTTTAAGCAAGAAGAGGTTTGTTCTTTGCAATTGATTGCATCAGTTGTCAAGAGGTGCCTGGAAAGATGCTGGGAAGCAGCAGGAAAACCCACTGGAGAGGGAAAGCCCTGGCTCTCTTCATGTCCTTCTTGCCCCAGGCTGGTTGCTCTGACATGGAAATAAGTGTCCAAGGCCACGTGTCTCCTGCTTTTTCAGTGATGTGAGTCTGCCCTGCTTGGGGTTCTGTGGATATTTGGGTTTGATTTTGATCTGTGGAACAAAAACCCTTTCCTGCTGTGGCACAGAACCACTTTTATGTCCATATTCTGTTTTCTTTGGTGCTGAGCTCCATTAGGTGGACAGGAGGTAGGATGAAGTTGTCAGCATGAACAGATCCCTGCCTGGTTTTTATCCTCTTTCCTGGGGGGGAGACAGGCTGGGGTGTAGCTTTTCTCTGTAACCCTGATGGCTTTCTGATGCTGACAAGAGGAAAACGTCATGTTTGGTTTGTAAATGTTGGGACTCGAGGCTGCTTGAGGAGCTTAATAAGCAAAATGATGCATCATCCATCATTTGTGCTGTGTCCATGCCTTGAGCAGATCCTGCTGGGAAGGCAGTGGGGCTGCTGTAACTCCTGACATGTGTGATCAGGGAGAATTGTGTGTGGCCAGGATTTGATTACAGGGCAGTGGGCACAGCCCCAAGGCTGCCAGAGCTCCAGGAGCGTTTGGACAAAGCTCTGATTTGGGGAGGGGATTGCTGGGATGTCTGTGCAGGACCAGGAGTTGGATGGATGATCCTTGTGGGTCCAACTCGGGATATTCTGTGATTGGGAGTCTCAACCCTTTGTGGAGTGACACTGGTAGCACAGACCAGCTCTGCTGAGGGGATCTCCTGCTGTTCCTCTGTGGGTGAGCTGAGCTTTGGAGTGAAAATCAGGAGGACCTTCTGGGGTTGAACTGACGCTGCTGCCTTCCCTTCCCTGCCCGAGGGCTGCGGGCTGTGCTCCAGCTCAGGCAGGTCCCGACGCACCAGGGTTTGTGTGCAGGGCTGGGAACCCTGCCCTGGCTGCTCCTCCAGGCCCTCCTTGGGATTAGACTCTGCTGTTTCCCCATCTGTGGTGTGGCAATAAAATCCTTCCCTTTGCCGGGAGCGCTGAGGCTCCTGTTTGTTGGTCGTTAATCCAGGGAAGAGGCTCTGAACAAAGTGGGCAGTGTTGTTGTCACCCATTGTCGCTGCGGTTTTGTGCAAACTGTTGAGCCTTTTGTTGTTGTCGTTTCCCCCAGCGTGAACAGACAAGGTGATAACAGATAAGGTGATCTCTTATCAGCTGGTTCAGGGCCTGGTTTGTGGCATTGCTGCACCCCTGGGGACAGAAGTTGCCATTCCTGTGCCTGCCCCTCCTGTCTCTGAGGGGTCAGTCTGAGCCGGTGTCTTTTCCTTGCTCCTCCCCTGTGGATCAATAGGTTTGAAACAACACTGGGTTGAGGAAAATGGGGCTGAGGTGAAGATGTTCACTTTGGTCCCCTCTCTAGCTTAGGGACGTGAGGTCATCTGCTCTAGTCTCTTTGGAAGGTGGTGCCTTCTGTGCTGGCACCCTGGGATTTTGAGGGAGTGGGGTCACCTTTTCCCTGGGACTGCCTCCTTGTTATCTCCACACTGACCTCGGGGTCGCTTCACCTTCCCAGCAGGGAGAGGCAACTGCTGGGGGTCCAGCTGCTCAGGTAACAGGGTGACATGTGCAGCAGGACCCTGGGACACTGTGCCAGCACAGGGCACTGTCCCTAGAGGTGGCCAGGGGGGTGATTGAGCCTGGCAGCCGGCTCGTCCCGTGCCCGTGTTCGGGAAGCGGCGGCATCAGCCGGGGCAGTCGCTTCCCGAAGGAATGAGTCACGTTGCCATCTGTCCATGTGTAACATAACGTGCTGGCTGCAGAGCCAGGAACAGGGCTTGGCACCTTCCTTTGGAGCTGTGGCTCTCCCTGCAGCGCTTGTTGTGCTCCGTGTTCAGGCCTGGCTTTGCTCCCCCGCCCTGGCGGTTGGGATTTGGCAGCCTTGGCCGCTGCAGCAGATTTGGGCAGAGTTTACAGGAGAAGGGGGGAATTAAATCCACTTAGGTGGGGTGAGTGCTCTTGAAGAGAACACGTGCCTTGGTGTGATCCCTGTCCCCAGAAGACAGTCTGTGCATGGGATCACACCGGGCTCTGTTTGCATCCAGCTCATGCAGAGGAGTTGGAGGTGAAGCCTCCTCAGGTGTGTGGCTGGGGGGGCTGCCAAAGCCTGGGGTATTGTTCTGAGCTGGAGTCCAGTTTTCCCTTTTTTGGGAAGGTTCCTGAGGGTAGATGGCGACATGTGCTGTTATCCCAGGGCTGAAGCTGCCTGGGGATGGGCTCGCCCTGGGTTGAGCAGTGGATGTGGCTTCCTTCTGTGTGTTTGTGGCAGAGGTGGTGTGAGCTGCCAGGGGGATGGGAAACTGCCTCCTATCACTAACCCATCACAGGTTTAGTGTGTGACACGGGAAGCAGGCAGGGAGCTCTGCTGCTGCCCTGATTTTAGGGAGTGCAGCCCTGGACAAGGCAGCCAACACACAGGGAGACGTTCTGGGCTGAGCCATCACTCGAGTTTTGGAGCCCTGACAGCGTCTCCTCTCTGAGTGGGGAGGGAGAACCTGCTGTACCTGTGGGCACCTGCTGCAGGTGTTGCATTGCTGTGGAGGTGGGATGGACTTGGTACCTCTGGGAGTGGCTGGGGTGGGGATGGATTTGCTCCACGGGAGCCAGAGCCAAAGCACCACAGTGCCCATTGTGCCCAGGCTGCAGGGACCTGCCTGTGCTCAGGGAGGAGCATCAGCCCAGAGCCCTCTGGCTGTTGACAGGTTTTGGTTTTGTCTTATGATCTGGAAATGACAGTGAGTGTGGGCTGGGCAGCCTGGGCCTGCTGCTGTGAGAGCTTCTCTGTTAAACCCAAACACAGCCCACCAGGAGGGGCTGGCACAGCAGCCCTTGGTGCCTGGGTGTGTTTGGGACTGCCCTGCCCCTTTGGCCTGGTGCAAATGCTTGGGCAGAACATTCCTGCAGTGCTGGAGGAGGGACATGGCTGGATCCCTTGTGCTGGGACCCCAGAGCTGGAGGCAGCTCTGCAGGTGGGAAATCACCCGAGCTGAGGGGAAAAGAAGAAACCTGCCAAGAAAAAATGCTCTTTCCCTGACTTGGCTGCCATGGGATGGGCTCCATCTCAGAGGGTTGGGACACTGGGGTGTGACAGTGGAGAATAAAAGTGCTCTGAGCTGACATGATCTCTGTTGTTTCTTCTGCAGGAACGCCAAGGTCGTGTCAAGTAAAAGGCCATTCCTCCCCAGAGACTGCAGCAGAGATTGCATCCCAGTTACCCTTCAGAGAGGCAAAGGAAAGGAGCAAGAGTATCCCAGAGAGAATTAGGACTTTTTTTTGGGTTGTTTTTTTTTTTTTCCTTAATTTCGTTGACTTCAAAAAAAAAGAGACTTTTACAAACTTGCAGTTTAAAAAAAAAAAAAGTATTGGAGTATCACAAGACATAGGACTTAAAAAAAACAAAAACAACAAAAAAAAATCCCTTCTAGGTAGAGTAGAGGTAAAACCTGTCCCCCTTTTCTTTTGGCTTTGGTTGTGATTTCAGAGCATTCACTTTGGTTTTTGTCTTTTTACTATGTGGTTTGTTTTTTTTTTTTTTCTTGGGGGATTTTTCAAGTCCATAAGTGGCATATGCTTTTTTTTTTTTTTTTTTTTGTCTCTTTCTCTCTTAATTTTTAAACCCTGCAGCCTCCCTTCCTTCCACCCCCTCGCGCCTCCTTCCCCCCCTGGTTTTGACATTTGCACTTGGAACACCGAGTTGTAACATCCACCCGTGGAGAGTGGAGTCATTTTCTTTTACACTTTTTCTTTCTTTCTCCTTCCTCCCCCTCCATGGCCTGGAAAAGGAAGTTTGGGGGTTTTTTTGGCCTAAGAAGAATTAAACAGAAATTATCCACGAGGTTGTGTCTTAAAGGTGGTTCATTTTTCTCTGACCCTTTGTTACTCAAAAGTCAAGTACTAGGAGTCCTAAGAAATGTTCTGTTCTTGTGCATTATGCAGATTAAGTCTGGATGAATTTGGGTTGGTTTTTTTTTTTTTTGAAAGCTGAGAACAGTGGTTAAAAAAAACCCTTGTTTTGTTTACAGGAAAAATTAATAATTTTGGACAAGAAAAAAAAGGAAAAAAAAAAGCACCAAAAAAAGGAAGAAATAATTGTAAAAAATGTGTAGTGACTTTGTTTCAGTTTCTTGTTAAGCCAACGAGGAATGGGCGTTGCCTTTCTTTTCACCATTAATCACTTCTCAATAATAAACGTGAAATCCTGTTGAGCATCACTGGTGTCTCCTGCTCCCTTCTCCTCCTTGCCCAAGGATCCCCACCTCCTGGAAAAAACAAAAAAAAAAGCTAGAAATAAAGAGTGGAGTGGTGGTTTTTTGCATTTCCTGGGATATTTTACATTAAATTAAAGACCAGGTTGGACAGGGCTTGGAACAACCTGGTCTAGTAGAATTAAGGGGTCTTTAAGGTTCCTTGCAACCCAAACCAGTCTGTGATTCTGTGATTTCACTTGTTTTCCCCAAAAAGAATTTTTCTCTTCTTAATTCCTCCATATTTTCAATCTCTCTTTGAGGTGGCCAAACCCCCACATCCCTCGCTGGTGTCCTCGTGTGCTCTCAGAGGGAGGTAAAACCCACGTTGTTGTGCAGGAGGGAAGGACAGAAACTCAATTTGATTAAAAGCCCAAATAAAGAAAGGTTGTCTTTTGAGAGAATTTTAGTTGAGAGTGAAAAAAATAAAGCTGGAGAAAGGGGTTTTGGGCTGTGCCTGCAGGTGTTTGTGTGCTGGTTTCACTGTTGGGCAGGCAGTTTCTTCCCCTTTTTGGTCTTCAAGTGACAACCCAAGAGAGGTGAGAGGAAGGGGAAGATGGGATTTGAAAACCACGACACTTCAGCTGCAGGTGTGGTGCCTGCAATTATTTTTATTTAAGGAAAAAACGATTTTATCCACTGGTCATATCCTTGTCCTCCAACCTGGGACAAGCTGCTGCTTGAATTTCCCCTGCTTCAGTCTGCATCTGGTCTAAACTGGGACAAAACCTGGGAATTTTCTAGGTTTGCTTTCAGCAGGGCTGTGTGTTTGAAAACTGCAGGATAAGGGGGAAAAAAATCCACCTGTAATTGTGGCTGAAGACCCCAAAAGCACAGAATGTCATCTCACTGTGAATGGGGCACAGGTAAGAGCAAAAAAGATGTTTATTACTCTGATTTCCTTGGAAAAGAATAACAGGTAAAAATATTTAGGGGGGGTCTTGGGGAAAGGAAAAGCTGCTTGGCTGCTGTGCTTCCCAAAATTGTGTAAATCCCTGGAGTTGTGTAAACCCAGGCTGGGCCTTTGCAGGGGCTGATTTGGGGTTTTCCAAACTTTGCCAACACCCCAAATCCCTGGAAGGAAACAGCTCAGCTGAGCCTCGGAGGCAAGAAACTCCAGGCAGGGGGGTTTGGGTGGGGGGCAGGTTTGGTGCTGTGACACCAGTGTGTTTGGGAAAAGATTCCCAGATCTCCTGATGGAATCATGGGATGGTTTAGGTTGGGAAAGCCTCTGGGATCATCAAGTGCAGCTGTTAACCCGTGTTCACCGTTCCTGGGGGGATGCAGGATGGCCGGGGGGCACGGGATGTGTGCAGGATGAGGATGAGGATGCAGCGAACGGAACAGGGCTCATCCAGCCCGAATGGAGGGATTCTGGCAGCCTCGGGGGACAGCAGGGACACGGAGAGCAGCGAACCCAGGAGGAACTGCCCTGCAGGATAGAGCTGGATGTGGGAGAAAGCAGAAAAAAGCATCTTGGGAAGGAGCAAACAGTTGGGAAAAGGGTGTTGATGGGGCCGAGCTGATCCTCGTTTTCCTCCTCCTCTTCAAGGTGAGGAGATTTCGCCCCCTCCCTCCATCCAGGAGTCCCGCCTGTGTTCCCCCATCCCACTCCATCGGCTCCAGCGCCTCCAAAGGCAGCAGCACCCTCTCCTGGAGAGGGATGGCTCTCAGGGATGGGGCTCTGTGGGCTGGGGAGGGGGATTTAGGGGCACCCCGGGCTTGCATCCCCTCAATCCCAGGGTGCCGAGTGCTGCCCTGGGGTCCGGGACGGCCGGGGGGGGTCCGGACCCTAATCCTGCTTTTTGGGGAGGCTCTGGTGGGGCTCAGCCGTGGGTCAGGGGGGCTGGAGCCGTCCCGGGGTGACCCTTGTGCTGTGGCGGCCCCGGCTGCGTTAACGATTGACGGGGCTGTTGGGACACGCCGGGACTCTGCCCGTGTCCCCTGGGGTCACCCCCCGGGCGGGGTCCACCGGCCCGGCCCCGTCGTGCCCCCCGACACGCTCTGACACCCCCGGGGGTCCCGCTGGGGGGGTTCCCCCGGGGCCGTGCGCCCTGTCCCCGTGTCCCCGTGTCCCTGTGACGGCCCCTCCTGCGCCCCCCGCGCTGACCCCGCTCCGGGCCGGGCTCTGCCTCCCAGTGCTCCCAGTGCTCCCAGTGATCCCAGTGCTCCCAGTGCCTCTCCCAGCACCTGCGGCGTCCAGCTCCCGGTTTGGAGGGTGGGACAGCCCCTCTCTGGGGGGCCATGCGGGGTGCGGGGGTGCTCCCCAGCCCCGCCGAGGCTCTGCCAGGCAGAGCACAGAGGATGACAGTGACAGGTACTGGGGACAGGGAGGGGGTGGCACCTCGAGCTCCCCCCACCCCAGCACCCTCGTGTGGTTTTGGGGGGCTGCTCCCGGGCTGTTAGTGCTGGGACATGGCCAATGACAGCCCCGAGACCCCACAAGGGGGCCCTTTTGGGGTCAGGGGGGCCATGAGAGGACATAGGCCAGTGGCCAGATGGGCCAGAAGAGGTCCTGGTGTCCCCAGGGGGTCATGATGTCTCATGGGGAGGGTTCCCAGGGGGTGTCTCCAGGAGCTGGAGGGGACAGGGTCAGTGCCTGCTTTTAGGGCGACATACAGGTTGGAGGTGGCTGCAGTTTGGGGTGGGCTGGGGGTCCTGACCCCACGTCCACCCCCAGCCACCCACGCTGTCACCGGGAACCCCACAGTCCCGCCGTTCCCAGCAGAGATGGACACGGCAATTTTCGGTGAGTGGCTCCTGCAGGGCCGGGGCAGGGGGGTCCCAGCAGTCCCGAGCCCCCCCCAGCCCCGCTCACCCCCTGCCCGTCCCCCCACAGGCATGGGCTGCTTCTGGGGGCCGAGCAGCTCTTCTGGAACACGCCAGGGGTCTTCTCCACCCAGGTGGGGTTCTCAGGAGGCTTCACCCCTAACCCCACCTACGAAGAGGTTCGCACAGGTAACCGGGGGCTCCCCCTCCCCTGCTGCCACGGGGAACCCCCCAGTGTCCCCCACAACGGGTGACATCCCCATCCAGCACCTCAGGGTGTCCCACAGCCCCTCGCCCTGGGCTGGATCCCATGGGATGCTCTCGGGTGTCTGTTGGATGATGATCCCCTTGTCCCCCACCCCAGTCCCCCCCAACCCCCCCCAGCCTGGACAGACAGCCCTGGCTTAGCTGGACAGACGTTTGGCAGAGGATTAACTGTCTGCAGGGAATATTATCCCTGCTGCCATGTCCAGCTGGGGATTTATCCCAGTGTGGGACAGACTTGGGGATCCCACCCCCAGCAGGCACCTGGGGAAGGGGGTCCAGGGGGGTGTGAGAGGATGCTGGTGCCCCTCCCTATCCCAATCCCTGCCTCCATCCCGGGGCAGGGGGAGGTTGGGGGGCAGGAGGCCACTCCGAGGGGCTGCAGCAGGGCTGGCTCTGGTGGCAGGGCTGACGGGGCACGCTGAGGTGGTCAGGGTGGTCTTTGACCCCCAGAAAATCAGCTACGAGGAGCTTCTCAAAATCTTCTGGGAGAACCACGACCCCACTCAAGGTAGGGATGAGCCCCCAGGGGGCAGCACCTGGGGCAGCCCCAGTTTTGGAGGGTTTAACCCCAAACAGGCTCCAGCAGAAGGTCCTTGGCATCTCCCCAGTTTGGTGGGTCTTGCAATGACTTCCCTCACCCACCCCTTTAGCAGGACCCTCCTGCCTTGCCCCCTGTGCCTCAGTTTCCCCACCAGAGGAGAAGGCAGTGCCTGGTGGGGTCTGGGGGTGCTCCATAACCCCCCCCCCGGGTGCTGCCCCCCAGGCATGAGGCAGCAGGAGGACGTGGGCACCCAGTACCGCTCCGTCATCTACACCCTGGGCCCCCGGCAGCAGGAAACTGCCCTCCGGAGCAGGGACCTGTACCAGCAGGTACTGGGGACACTGGGACACCCTGGGGACACAGAGATCCTCCCAGGGCCACTGGGACCCACCCTGGGGACACTGGGAACCCCTCATGGGACAAAGAGAGCCCCTGGGGACACTGAGACTCACCCCTGGGCACTCCGGGACCCTGTCATGGGACACAGAGGACCCCCTGTGGACATCAGGACTCCCTTGGGGACACCGAGAGCTCCCCTGGGGACACTGGGACACACTCTGGGGGCACTGTGACACCCCTGGGGACACCAGCCAGCTCCCCCAGCCCTGGGGCATGGGCAAAGCCCCCACCCCGGCTGTGCAAGGGGATGGGGGGGTCCCTGCAGGCTCCCCCTGCCATGGGACTGTCCTAGGAGCTGGGGACACAGCGGCATGGGGACATCACCACTGCCATCGAGCCGGCCCGTGACTTCTACTACGCCGAGGACCATCACCAGCAGTACCTGCACAAGGTGCCCGGGGCCTCCTGTGGCATGAAGGGCACCGGGATCACCTGCCCCATCACCTGCTGAGGGGCCACCCTGTGTGCCCTGGGCTGTCCCCACGTCCCCTGGGCTGTTCCCATGTCCCCTGCACTGTTCCCATGTCCCCTGCACTGTTCCCATGTCCCCTGCACTGTCCCCACGTTCCTGGCATTGCTGGCCCCACGTGTCACTGCCACCTCACAGCGCCCCACTGTCCCCCGTGATTAAAGCCCTGTGACCCCCACCCTGTCCTGGCTTTTACGGGGGGGACTCTGGGGGGTCACTGGGTGCTGGTTGGGGTCGGGGGGGAGCTGTGCCTGTGTCTGTGTGTCCGTGTGTCCACATCCGTGTATCCATGTCTGTGTATCTGAGGGTCCGTGTCCATGCATCTGTGTCCCTGTGTCCTGTGTCTCTGTCCTTGTGTCCCTGTGTCCTGTCCCTGTGTCCCTGTATCCCTGTATCCCTGTGTCCCTGTGTCCCTCTGTATCCCTTGTGTCCCTGTGTCCCTGTGTCCCTGTGTCCCTGTATCCCTGTATCCCTGTGTCCCTGTGTCCCTCTGTCCCTGTGTCCCTGTGTCCTGTCCCTGTGTCCCTGTATCCCTGTATCCCTGTGTCCCTGTGTCCCTGTATCCCTGTGTCCTGTCCCTGTATCCCTGTGTCCTGTCCCTGTATCCCTGTATCCCTGTATCCCTGTGTCCCTGTATCCCTGTATCCCTGTGTCCTGTCCCTGTATCCCTGTGTCCCTGTGTCCCCGTGTCCCTGTATCCCTGTGTCCCTGTGTCCCTGTGTCCCTGTATCCCTGTGTCCCTGTGTCCCTGTATCCCTGTTTCCCTGTGTCCCTGTGTATCCCTGTGTCCCTGTATCCCTGTATCCCTGTGTCCCTGTATCCCTGTGTCCTGTCCCTGTGTCCCTGTGTCCCTGTATCCCTGTGTCCCTGTATCCCTGTGTCCCTGTGTCCCTGTGTCCCTGTATCCTTGCATCCCTGTGTCCCTGTATCCCTGCAGTTCCCCGCTCCTCCGCCAGGTGGCGCTTCGGGGCCGGACTCCCTCCCACCCACCAGGGGGCAGCACCGGCGCGGTGAGTGCGCGCCTATACGGTACTTACGGTACGAGCCGTACATACGGTACGCGCGCACTCCAAACACGGCCCCCGCGGCCCGTACACGGGTGGGGGGCACACGGGGACAGCGGGGACGAGCGTGGGCGTGCTCGGGGACATACAGATCACCTACATACACCTACATACGTGCACGGGGCCATACAACTCACATACACATACATACGTGCGTGCACAGGTGCCACGTGCCGTGACCTCCCGCCCCTGTGTCCCCAGTGGGTGCTGGCTGTCCCCACAGCTCCAGGGATGAGGGCACACAAGGTGCCATCACGTCCCCATGGGGCAGAGCTCGGTACTTGGCTTGTCCCCAACTCCACAGGAGATGACACAGAGAGGGACATTTTTGCAGAAAGTGAAGTTCCCCAGGGCCACCAGAGAGTGAAAAACTCAACCAGAAGCAGAGAGAAAGCGAGTGCAGGTCGGCTTCCGGCACCTGGCCCGGCAGCTGCCACGGCACCCGGCCCTGCAGAGGGACTTGGGCACAGGGACAGGGGACAAGGCACCCTGGCCTTCAGCCTCACGTCCCAGCATCCTCCTCATCCCAAGGAATGGTCCTGGAGAGGCCATGGGCACCCGTGGTGGGGTCTCATGGCAGGGGATGGCTGGGATGGGGGTGCCCAAATGTCAGGATTTGTGGGTTGTTCCCCTGGGACCCCCTGGATTGCCTTCCCCACCTGCTGATGGGACAAGGAGAGGGACCAAAGGATATTGAAGCTGGTGGAGGTTTGGGCTGGACCACACCATTCCAGCCCTGGATTCATCCACAGCAAGTACAGAGAAGCCGCTTTTCAGACTCTGAGTGGGAAAACTGAGGCAGGGACAGTCACAGTGCTGGGCTTTGGGAACAGGAACCCCCGGCTTGGCCGCCCCCAGGGGTCCTTGGATTGTGCAGCCACAGCTCCCGTGGGTTTGGAGGAGCACTGGACAACCCAGATGTCCCCCCTTTCCTGCAGAGCCCTTCAGGGATGTGGCTGGAGGAGAGGAGATGATGGGGCCCCCTCTGACCCCCCCACTGCCCCTCACCTGGCACCTGCTCTGGGTGAATGGAAACTGTGTGTCAGAGGAAGTGGGGGGGACACCCAGCTGTCCCCCCGACCCACCCCGTCCCCCAGCACAGCTGGGATGAGTTGGGCCGGGCTCAGCCCATCCCCACGGAGTGGGTTTCCAGCAGAGGGAGGGCACAACCCTTTTGTCCCCCACTTTTCTGCCTGACACGTCACCTCCTGCTGAACCCCAGCGTGGCCACACAACCCTGGGGTGACCAGGTTGGGGTTCTCAACCTGACACCCATCCCTGCCTCAGTTTCCCCACTCAGGGTCTGCAAAGCAGCTTCTCATCCCCACACTGGGGCTGGAAAGGCACAAATCCAGGAATGACGTGGTCCAGCCTGAACCTCCACCAGCATCCCAATGCCATGGGGGGTGCTCGGATCCCATTCCAAGAAATCAGGCTGGCAGGGGCTGGATGAGTGAGGAGTTGGAGAGGGGATGTCAGTGGGATATTTATACCAGGGGAGGGAGGGAGGGAGGGATCTGTGGGGCTTCTTCACCGGAGTGAAGAAAATAACAATTCGGGCAGGTTTGAAAAGCGCCGAAACCACGACAGGAAACCCAAATTGTACAAATGCAGATGTGAGTGGAAAAAGCTCTTGAGCTGGTGGCTATGGCTTTCACCTCCACTAAAAATAAACCTGCCTTAATTAGGGGCCGATGGGGGCTGAGGTAAAACATCTCCACTCCCTCCCCCTCCATGTTTTTCCATGGGGGGGTTTGTTCTGTGCCATGCCGAGGGATGTGGGTTTCTGGGGCTAGCAGGGGTGGCTGGCTGGGCCAGAGGCTCGTGTTTCGGGTTTTGGGGAGGATCTGGGGGGGATTTTAGGGTGTTGAAGGGGTGTGTCAGGTTTTCTGGGGTGGGGGAGTTGCTGGGGTCGGTGTGATTTGGGGCTGGGCAGAGCGGGGTGGGGGGTGTGATGAGTTGTAACGGTCTCTGGGTGTAACGAGGCAGCCTGGCAAAGCCACATCCTGCAGCGTGGCAGGACCCGGGGGGAGGAATTCGGAGGGGGCTGAGAAAGGGAGGGATTTGGGGGGGGGGAACAGCAGGGAAAGCGAAACCCCTTCTGTAAATTTGCACACCCCCCCAAAACCCAGGCTGGGCTCCTCTTCCCCCCGTGCCTCAGTTTCCCCTCTTCAGGCGGGAGCACCCCACACGTAGGGGGGGATGTGGCGAGGGCGGGGCCAGGTTTTGGGTGCCCGCTGTGCCCCCCCCGTGCCGCACCCCGGCCCCGGGAGGATATCGTGGGAGGCAGGAGGTGCCTCACTCGTCACCCCAGCGGTGACAGCGGGGCCCGGGCTCCTCTGAGTCACCCCCGTGTCCCCACACCTGCAGCGGCCGCGGGGGGGGAGGAGGAGGGATGCTCACACCTGCAGCCTTCACACCCTCCAGCCCCATCCTCCTCCTCCTCCTCCTCCTTTTGTAGGGGAAATGAGGGATGCAATTTGGGGAGGGAGGAATCAAAGGGGTGGAGGGAGAAGGGGGAGGAGAGTGGGGGGCTGAACGCCGAATTGGGGGGGCATCCCCACACCACCTCAGCACCCACCGTGCCAGGGGCACCCAAATGTGCCCACGGACCCCCACAGGGCCTGGGGGGCAGGGGGTCACATTGCATGAGCTGGTCACCCTGCTGGGGTGACACGGGGGATGTGATGCTCCAGCCCCCCCTCCCCAAACCCCAAAGGGTCAAGAGGGAAGAGGGGTAAGACCTCCCTAGGGTGCAGATGGGACACGGGGGGGCTGCTGTGGTGTCAGGGCTGGGGAGGGGAAGTGGGGGGCTCCGGTTGGCCTTGGGGGGAGGCCGTGAGAACCGAGGCCGGGGCCGGGGGGCAGCGCAGGAAGCGCCGGGGGGCGGCCGCTCCCGGCTCCCCCAGATGTGCCCGTGAGATAGGACGGCAGGAAGCAGCTGCGGGGAATCCCGGCGCTGGGAACAGCGGCTGCCGCCCGCCTGACGCCCCCCGGGCCTGTCGGACCCCCGGCCCCGCCGCCTCCCCCCCACCTCCGGGTACCACCCGGGGATGCTCCGAGCGGCCCGGCCTCTCCCCCGCGGGGAGATGGGGGTGCCCAGGGTTTGCCCTGGAGAAGCAGCTCTGATTCCTCATGGGAATACGTGCTTCCCTCTGGCTCTGTCAGTGCTGAGGGATTCATGGCTCTGCTCCTGGCTGGGCTTGGGGTGGGATTAGATGTGGGGAAACAGAGGCACGGGAGGTGGCTGAGAAGCTTGGCCGTGGTTCCTGTCGTGGATCAGAGGGATGGGAGTGCTCCTCTCCCTCCCCTGGGTGCTCGGGAATGCCCCGCTGTGTTCGCTCCGGTCCCCGATGACAACCAGCAGTGCCGGGCGCTGCCTCCAGGCTCGTTGGGATGGGACACACTGTCCCTGCCTCGGGCACGGGGCCGAGGGGGGCCCTGGGACTAATCCCCTGCACAAACAGCCGCACATTCCCCAGGGCAGGATCCGGTCTCCCGGTGACAGGGATCAGGGGAGGGGGAACTCGCTGCCCCCTTTTGGGTGCCCATTCCCAGCAGTGTCCCCTGATTTCCACCCCATTTCCCTGTGTATCCAGCACCGCTCGTGGCCCATCCCGCAGCCTCCAGCACTGGCAGGTCCCTGTGGTGGGTGAGGGGGTAAACTGAGGCACAGAGCAGGCTCCCTCCATCAGCTGCAGACCCTGATGTCCACCCAAATCTGCCAGCCCCAATTTATAACCCCCTCCTTTATCCCAAAACACCCCAAATCTGGGACATCACAGCTCAGGGTGGGGTGTCACTGCGGCCATGGGGACACCAAGGGGAGGGTTTTGGCACCTTCTTCACGTGACCAATGGCTGGAGCAGGACCACGATGCCCATCCCTGCCTGTCCCTGCCCATCCTGGACCCTCTGCCCATCTGGGAGCACGAATTGGGGTGTCAGGAGAGTTGGCACCTGGTTGAGAGCAGAATCACCAAA